TCGGCACCCAACCTGCAGGTAGGAGGGGGGAGCTGCGGCCAGCCAACTCAGTCGCTCGCGTCTTGGAGCCCGCACATGCTTATTCACCACGTAGCTCGTGTAGCCCCGTCGGTAACCCCTTCCCCCTTGCCCCCCCCCCTGCCAGGCGGTCACCAAGTATGAGGTGGTGGTGCAGCTGCAGGGCGGCGGCGGCGGGGAGGCGGGAGGGAAGGGTGGTGGAAGTGAGGGTTGCGGCGGTGAGGGTGGCGGGGTGCTGCGGGTGGTGGCGCGCGACGCCTTCGTGGCCCCCCCGGGGCGGCTGCTGCTGTCCGCGGACTACAGCCAGGTGGGGCGGGGGGGGGGGAGAGGGGAGGGGAGGGGAGGGGAGGGGGGGAGCCACGTGTCTATGTCGTGAAGGGCAGTGCTGCTGGGGCCAGGGGGGCTGTCATCCGACTCATGCTGCCGGAGCTGTACGTGCATGTGAGCTCGGGAAGCCGTGAGCTCCGCCAGCAGCCCCACCCTGTCCGCCTGCGCCCTTGTCTTCCCCCACCCCCCGCCCCCCCCCGCCCCGCCCCCAGATCGAGTTGCGGCTGCTGGCTCACCTGAGCGGCGACCTGAGGCTGCAGGAGCTGCTGAGGCGGGGGGAGGGAGGGGCAGGGGCAGGGGCAGGGGGGGGAGCAGGGGCAGGGGGGGGAGCAGGAGGGGGAGGGGCGGACGCGTTCCGGCACATCGCGGCTGCCTGGCTGCGACCGGGAACTGACCCGGGTGGGTGGCGGCAGAAGGGGGCAGGGGGGGCGGAGGGACAGAAGGGGGCAGAGAGGGGGCAGAAGGGGGCAGGGGGGGCGGAGGGACAGAAGGGGGCAGAGAGGGGGCAGAAGGGGGCAGGGGGGGCGGAGGGACAGAAGGGGGCAGAGAGGGGGCAGAAGGGGGCAGGGGGGGCGGAGGGACAGAAGGGGGCAGAGAGGGGGCAGAAGGGGGCAGGGGGGGCGGAGGGACAGAAGGGGGCAGAGAGGGGGCAGAAGGGGGCAGGGGGGGCGGAGGGACAGAAGGGGGCAGAGAGGGGGCAGAAGGGGGCAGGGGGGGCGGAGGGACAGAAGGGGGCAGAGAGGGGGCAGAAGGGGGCAGGGGGGGCGGAGGGACAGAAGGGGGCAGAGAGGGGGCAGAAGGGGGCAGGGGGGGCGGAGGGACAGAAGGGGGCAGAGAGGGGGCAGAAGGGGGCAGGGGGGGCGGAGGGACAGAAGGGGGCAGAGAGGGGGCAGAAGGGGCTGGAGTTGCGTTGTGTGCGGTACACATACATGTGCAGTAGGCGCATATGGCCAGATGCATGCACAACATTCCACGGCTTGTCTCCTGCCGGCCCACCCTTGTCTCCATCCCCCCTTCCCCATCGCGCCCTCCCCTCCCCTCCCCCCTCCCCCCATCATCATCACACCACACTTTGGAATTTCTTTTTTCCCCCCTCCCCCCTCCCTCCCCAGCCTCCGTGAGCAGTCGCGACCGCGAGCAGGCCAAGCGTGTGGTGTACGGCATCATATACGGCATGACGGCGGGGGGGCTGGCGCAGCAGCTGGCGGTGAGGGGGGGCCGACCCATGGGTCACTGGCGCGGGTCGGGGTGGGCTGGGGGAGGGGGGGTATTTTGGGTGCACGCAGCTGCAGCCTAGCAGCGCTCTCCCACCCAACCCCTGCCCACCCCCACCCTGCCCTCCACCCCCCCCCCCAGGAGCACGGTGTGGGTCTGGAGGGGGCCACAGCGCTGCGCTCCTCCTTCCTGCGCCACTTTGCGGGGGTGCAGGCGTTCATCACATCGTGAGGGGGGGGGAGGGAGGGAGGGAGGGGGGGCAGGGAGGGGAGGGGAGGAGGGAAGGAAGGAGGGAGGAGGGAGTTGAAGAAGGGGGAGGGAAAAAAGAAATTCCAAAGTGTGGTATGGTAATGATACAAGTTGCTATACAAGAAGGGGGAGGGAGGGGGCCACCAGGAGGCAGGCGGCGAGCAGGCAAGGTCCGGTCACACGGACACGCACCCGGCAGGGCCAGTTAGGGCCCAGTCCTCTCATACCCACCACAGCAGGCACATGGGGCGGCCTCACCTCCTTCTCGCCACCCGCTGAGTCCGCTGCCCTGCTGCCACCAGCCATCCCAGCTGCTCCACCTCCCAGCACCCGCCACCCCTCACTGCCCCCCCCCCCACCTGTTTGCATTTCTTATATAATTTTTACCCCCCTCCCCCCCCCCCACCTCAGGAGTCTGCACCACGCCCGCCGCCACGGCTACATCACCACGGGGCTGCTGGGGCGGCGAAGACCCATCCCCGGGCTGAACAGCAGCGACCCGCGGGTCAGGGGGGATGCCGAGCGGAAGGTGGGTGTCCGGCCACCTTTGAGGGCACGCTGGGCAGTCGTGTACACTCGCTGCAGCATCTGGTTGAGCTACTTTTTCATCCCGGCGAGAAAGTCGAGCTCCTTCTGAAGACCCTAAACCCCTAAACCCTAAACTCTACAAGGCAGCGGGCCAGCTTACACACATGTGTATCGTACACAGTACTGCATACAGCGGGCAGGGCTCCCCGTGAGGGGGTCCCGGGTACCACCGGCGGGTGGGTGAAGTGCAGTCGGCGGTGTCGGAACCACCAGGGTCAGCCAGGGCGAACTGGTTTCACGTCAGCTGCGGCAAGCCAGCCAGGGCAGCCGTGTGTTGCCGGGTACGGCCTGCCATCCCGACCACCGCCCTCCACCCCCCCCCCCCCTCCGCCAACCCCGCTCCCCCACAGGTGGTCAACAGCATCGTGCAGGTGGGTGAGCGGGCGGGGCCCCGGGGAGGCAGGGGCGCTCGAGCAGGTCGTTGCAGGACGTGCGCCGCAGTCTGGCTTGCTAGGCGTGTGCGTCAGGGTCAACAACGGGGGGCGCCTGCCCCCCCCCGCCCACTGCACTGCAATGCGGCGCACTGCCCCCCCCACGACCCAGCTGGGGAGCCCGCACCCCGGCCCTCACTGCTTGCACGCGGCTGGTACAGCCACATGCCGGTGTGTGCTCCTATCCTGACAGCTGCTGACAGCTGCCGTGATGGCCGCTGGGCTGCTGGCCGCTGGGCTGCTGGCCGCTGGGCTGTTGGCTGGTGTAGACCCTTCCCCCTCTGGCGGCCCCTCTCAGCACCTACCTTACAGCCCCCTTTCACCTACCCTACTCTTCTCCCTCCTCTTCTCCCTCCCCCGCCCCCCTGCCCCCTGCCCCCGCCCCTGCTCCCCCAGGGCAGCGCCGCCGACCTGGTCAAGTGCGCCATGTGCGTGTGGGCCAGCTACAGCCACCCGGACACATGGACCCACGGGTCACCGCAGCGGCACCAGGCGGACAACCTCCTGCCCCTCCTGCATCTCCAAACAGTAAACCCGCGCAACGGCGACACGGGCAGCGGTGGTGGGCCCCCCTCCGCGCCCCCTCACCCTCCTCCCCAGCCGCCCCCGGGTGCTGCTGCCGGGAGTGCCCCCTGCGGCCCCCCCGCTGCTGAGCTGGTGGCTCAGATCCACGACGAGCTGCTGTTCGAGTGCGACGCGGACCCGGCGGCTGTACGGCAGCTGGTGGCCGCCGTACGCGCCATCATGTGCGGTGTCGTACGGCTGGACGTGCCGCTGCAGGTGAAGGTGGCGGCGGGGCAGTGCTGGGGGCGGCTCAAGGTGCGGGGCGGGGGGTGGGGGGGAGGGGGTGGAGAACCCGTTGGGTGCATTGGGGAGGGGTGGAGGGCGTCAATGTTGGGTCATGAAGTGGCCATGATGAGCTAGGCTAACGTACTGGGCGGGAGGTGGAGTCGAAGAGCGGAAGTAGGAGACACTATTGCCCGCGGTGGCTAGGGACGCATGCGCCCGTGGGGGCGGGAGTGTTGCACGCATGCATCGGGGGTCAGGCGGGCTGCCACTGGCCCCCCACCTGCCCCCCCCTCCGCTGCTGCCGCAGGAGCTCCCGGACGACTTTTGAGGTGGGCGGCAGCGCGCGCCTCCCCTGACCTGCTGCAGCCCTACGCAGGCTGGACAGCAGCAGCAGTGCATGCAGCCCGGCGGTGCAGGTCGTCATGCAGCGTCATGCCGTACCTGCAGCCAGGTACCAAGCGACAGCAAGCGGCTTGCTCCCTACACATGCATGCACGTGCATTTGGGCGGCAGGTAGACGTGCATGCAGGCGCGCTGTGAGACCCGCTGGAGGACTGGGCATTCAGTGCTAGTACCGTACCCCCCGGGTAGAGGGGCGCAGGATGGCAGGAGGGACCTAGGGGTTAGCCCAGGCGGGCGCCTCCCCACCTATAGGTGTCCAGTACATAGAAGGACGCGACGGTCGCAATAGGTTTTATGAGCGAGGGACGAGGAGTTGACTCGCTGGTGGCTTCAAGCTGGGGGTGATTGGTTGCTAGGGAGGAGGGGCCCGTACGCAGCTGGAACGGACCCCAGGGTCAGCACTGATGTCTGTCGCGCTGTTCCCGCAAGTAAAGAGCTCTGCAACTGGCAGGATGCTGCACAGCTTAATGACAACAGCAATTATATCTTGAATTCGCGAAGCTGCCCAAAGCATTCCGACATGGTTGTACAGGGATTGCGAGGCTAGGAGGACTATAAGGGGGTTGAGATGGGACAGCCGCGCGCGTAAGGTGTATTGTAGTCTCTGGGGTATTCAACGAGTCCAGAAAGCAACCGCATACATGGCGGGATTCGGCCCTCACATCGTGCACACGTGCAATTGTCTCAACCTTATAAAGTACAGCTCAAGATAATTGCACACTTTCCAGTCAGCACCTCTATGGTGCCCTCTTGTAGGTCATAGGGGTTGCAAATTGATGCTTGGCGCCCATGAAACAGATACTTTCAACCTGAGCAGTGCTGATCAACCCTGCAACAAGCATCGCATAAATGGGGTATTCCTGGCAAGAATGGCCCGTGGAATTACAAATAAAGTTTGAGCTGGCCGTACAGGGGCCTGTAACCAAGCCATCCGGTAGTGATCTAACACGCGAGGAGTACAGATAGCGGCAAAGCGGGCTTGGCCAGCTAAGTAATATACAATGTCCGATCCAAAGAAGCCGGCGTCGCCTGATGGCGACGCGCGGCAGCGCGGCGCTCCCTCTCCATTGGTGCTAACCTTGGTTGGCCTAGGCGTCGCGGGCGCATGTGTTGCAGCAGGCGTAATTGGCAAAAAGCTGTCAAAGCCCAAACCTAAGAGCCATTCCTCCAGGAAAAAAGTCGTGGCGCGGTCCTCGTCCGGCCGTTCTGGCTCCGGCATGGCGCCCTCAGCCACACCGAGGGTAAGCCTTTCGCTGTACACATTTCGTGATCACAGTTTATATAACAAATCCAATATTCTCTGACGCCATTATCGCAGAAGCAGACCTCTCCTACGCGGCGGTCCTCTGGCTCCCCAGGCAGCGCGGCAGCCACCTCCCCAGCAACCGGCTCCCCTCAGGCAGCCGCAGCCGCCACTGCCCCCGCAGCAGCGGCAGCAGCTGCTGCCCCCGCCGCCACCACAGCCCGGGCCGCCACTGCCGCAGCCCGCCCGGCCCCGGCTACTGCTTCCTCTGCTGCCCCTCCAGCCAAGACGGCCCCTGCCGCCAAGCCCGCCGCACCGGCCCCCGCTACGCAGCCCGCTGCAGCCGCGGTGAGTGCCCCCAGCGCCCCCGCAGCAGCAGCAGCGGCAGCAGCGGCACCGGCCCCCAAGCAGGAGCCCGCAGCCGCCCCTGCACCCGCACCCAAGGCAGCAGCAGCCGCCCCCGCACCCACAGCCCCCCCTGCCCCCGCAGCGGCTCCTCAGGTTGCCGCCGCCCCCGCAGCGGTGGCTCCCCAGCTGCCCCCCCAGAAGCAGGAGCAGCCCCAGCCCGCCGCAGCCCCCAAGCAGGAGGCCGCAGCAGGCCCCCAGCCGGCGGCCCCTGCGGCCCCGGAGGCTGCTGCTGCGGCCCCACCTGCCAGCACCGCCGCAGCAGCGCAACCGCAGCAGCAGCAGCAGGTGGAGAAGGGTGAGCAGGCTAAGGTCCAAGATGAGAAGCCGGCAGTCAACGGCCCCGCAGCAGCAGCGGATGCTGCTGCCCCCGTTGTCACTGCTGCCGCCACACCCGCGGAGGCGGCAACACCGGCCGCCGCAGAGCAGCAGCAGCAGCAGGCGGAGGAGGAGGCGGCTGCACCCGCCGCGCCCAGCAGCGCACCTCTGCCGCAGGAAGCCGCCATGCCGGCGCCGGAGGCAGCTGCTGCTGCTGCTGCAGGGGCAGGTGCGCCCCCAGCCGCGCAGGCGGATGTGGACCTTGTGAAGTCGGCTCTGGAGGTGCAGGTGCAGGGAGAGGGGGAGGGGGAGGCTAGTGGCTCGTCCGCTGCCACCACCACCGCCACCACTACCGCCGAGGCTGCCGGCGAGGTGGAGGAGGCGGAGGAGGGTCCCCGCAGCGAGTCCGAGCTGCAGGCGGAGGGGCTGCTGCTGGCCAGCACCACCGCGTGGAACGGGCAGGGCAACAAGGCGCAGGGGGTGAAGCTGGCGCGGAGGGCGCTGGAGGTGCTGCAGGGGGGGCCGCACAGACCCAAGGTGGGAGGTGGGGGGGTGGGGGCGGTGGGAGGTGGGGGGGTGTGGAGTCCGCTGATTCCTCTGCTCCTGGCACGAGGCAGTGCCGTTTGGCTGCCGTGACCTCCGCATGTCGATGTCGCCCCGCTTGTGCCCCTCTGGCGTCCGCCTTGCTCTCATCACGCTGTCTAAATTGTGCTTCCCTTCCCGCCCAGTTCCGCTGCGAGGCGGCCTCCTCGCTGGCCGACATGCTGTACGCGCTGGGTCGGCTGGAGGAGGCGCTGGGGGCGGTGGCGGAGGCGGAGGCGGCGGCGCGGGAGGCGCGCGACTGGGGCATGGTTGTGAAGCTGAGCAACAACATGGGCGCGCTGTACAAGAAGCTGGGGAGGTGGGGTGGTGGGGGGCCCTGCGGATTGCGCATGGAGCGGGGGCGGCATGTTCAGCTAGACATGCACCGGAGTGGCCCTGGTGGCGCGTTGCGGCCGGAGGAGCAAGTCGCACCGCCCCTCCAACCCTTACCTACATTCCTCACCCTCCCCTCCCCTTCCTCTCTTACCTCCAGGCCTGCCGAGGCGGAGGCGCTGCACCGCTCCTGCTACTCGCTGGCGGCTGCCGAGCTGGGTCCGGGGCACCCGCTAGCGCTGCTGGCGCGGAGCAACCTCACGGAGACGCTGAGTCTGCGGCGGCAGGGGGGCAGCGGCGGGGGGGCGGGGGAGGCGGCGGAGGGGGAGAGCGAGGAGGATGTGGCCGCGAGGGAGGAGGCGCGGCAGCTGCTGCAGGTGGGGCAGGAGCGGGGAGGAGGCAGGGAGGGAGGAAGGGAGGAGTAGGTTAACTGAGTCGCGGGACGGGAGGACGGTGGCTCCTTTTGAGAGTCCGGCGCTGTGAGCTGCACCTGTCATGCGGAGGAGGGGGCGGGGTTGGGTGATGCGACCTGGTGCGGCGCCACGTCGTGCGCACTGACATGAGCCCCGCTGCAAGGTGCGCCCCGCCCTCCCGCCCTGCCCACTGACCCCCCCCCCTCCCCTCGACCCCCCCAGACCGCCCTAGCCCAGCTGGAGGCCGAGGAGGCGATGCAGCGGGAGACGCTGCAGCAGCAAACCACCTCCGCCCCTGCTGCTGCCACCACCGCTACCTCCCCCGACGCCCCCGACCCCTCCCCCGCTGCCGAGGAGAGCCCCGCTGCGGCGCTGCTGCGGCGCACGCGCACCGCCATCATCCGCACGCACATCGAGCTGGGGCGGCTGGAGATGGTGGCGGGGCAGGACCCGGGTGCCGCGGAGGGGGCGTACCGGCGGGCGCTGCAGCTGAGCAACGAGGTGTACGGGGAGGAGTCGCGGGAGAGCGGCGGACCGGCGTTCAGCCTGGCCAACTGCCTGAGGGCCATCGGGAAGAAGGGTGAGGGACGGGGCGGGGGGCGGGGAGGGGGATGAAGAGGAGTAACTGGGGTAGGTGGGGCTGTGAGGAGTGAGGAAGGGGCATGTGGGAAGGGAGCGTGTATGCAAGAGCGGAGTGGGCTGGGGCGCCCTCCTCCGCTGCATGGCTGCTGCTCTGCCGCCTCAGTCCTTGTTGTAACACCCCCGCCCCCCCTCCCTTGACACCCCCCTCCCTCCCCCCCCCAGACGAGGCCCGGCAGCAGTACGAGCGGCTGTATGAGCAGCTGGTGCAGCGGGGGGCGATGGGCGAGGAGACCGCAGTACACCTGGCCCGCGCGTTAGCGGACCTGCATGAGGAGGTGGGGGGGTGGGGGTGGGGGGCGTGTATTAGGGTGGGGGGGAGGCACTCTGGCGTTGCTACTGACCCACGGGCGCAGCGGGTCTTCTTTGTAACACTCCTTCCGACTGCCCTTTTGGCTGGTCGTGAGCACTCCACTCTCCCCCTTCCCTCCCCCCCCCCCAGTTGGGCGACTGGGCCGCTGTGGACAAGTACTCCTCCTCCGCGCTGCTCTCCATGACTCAGCTGATCGGCACCTCCGCGCACCCGGTGCTGGAGTCCTTCTACCAGGCCGCATGCAGGGCCAAGGCGCACAACGGGGACACGGCGGGTGCGGAGGCGCTCAAGCGGCAGTTCCTGACGGCCATGCTGCGGCTGAGCCAGCAGCAGCACGCGAGGCAGGGGGCGGGCGGGGGAAGGAGCGGGGCCGCGGGAGGGGCGCAGGGGCCGGGGGCGGGTGCGGGGGCGGGCAGGGGACATGTAGGCAGCAGGCGGGGAGGTGGGAAGAAGGGCGGCCGCAAGTGAGGGTGTGCAGGAGGGGTGCGGGGGGCTCGCTGGTTTGAAGTAGCGGGCTCGGAGGAGCGTGGATGGGTGGAAGGAGGCGGCATCTGGCTGGGGGCTGAGCGGGGTTGATGCACAGCGGGGTGGGGTGCAGCGGTTGACTGACGTGTCGGCGGTGTCAGCGACGGGCGCAGTGCAGCTGGGAGGACTGTGTTAAGAAAACTGGCCGCGAGCAGGTGCACGTGTGTGTGTTGGATCAGGAAAGGGGGGACAGTCTGATTGTTGTCGTACGTGTCCTTGTTGTTGCAATACGGACAGATGAGGAACAACTGGGCGGAAGGCTCTGACCTGTGGTCCGCCGGGAGTGCATGTAAGCTTTGCGACCCATGGGTCGGCTCTCAGCGCAGGGATCCCTGCCCACCCCTCTCCAGAGCCCCGATCCCGCCTGCCCCCACCGAAGAGGTGCGCACAGTACGTTCCGACTCGCAGCCAGTCTCCTTAACACAGATAGGCGCCGCTGGCGGCAAGAGGCCCCAGGAGCGACAAACACGTCGCATGCTCCAACACAGCCGCTCACATTCCGCCCCCCTTCCTGGAACCCCTCCATACGCGGAGCCCTAGCTGCAGCCAAGTTCACCCTACAGCCCAGCTCACCCCCGCGCTCCTCTCGCTCACCCCTCCCCCTCCCCCCCACCCCCCGCCTCGTACACCAGCTGCCCATCCACCCAGGTGCGCAACACCCCCGGCAGACAGCGGCGCAGCCGGGACGAGGAGAACTGCAACCGCCGCAGCAGCCGCTCCTCCTCCCCGTCTTCCTCTCCTTCTCCCTCCTCCTGTCCCCCCTCTCCCTTCTCTCCCCCCTCCTCCAGCAGGCTGCTACTCAGCTCCACGAAGTCCGCCCGCGCCCCCGCCTGCAGCACCCCCACCCACCCCTCCAGCCCCACCGCCCGCGCCGCCCACCCTGTGAGCCCCCGCAGCGCCGCCTCCACCCCCAACCCCTCACCCGATTGAAACCCCTCCGGCCACTCCACCCCGCCCCCCTCATCCACACACCCAGCCTCCTGCCCCTGCCCCACCCCGCTCACCCCCGCACTCCGCTCACCCCCCTCCGCACAGCCGTACAGCCCCTGCTCCCCCTCCCCCGCCCCTCCCCCCCGCCCCGCCGCCCCCACCACCCTGTGCCGCGCCCCCGCCGGCAGCCCCCGGTTCATGGCGCACTCCACTGCGGGTGGCGGCGCGTGTCGCAGCACCGCCGCGTACAGCGAGGTGAGCGGCTGCAGGGACACCACGGGCCAGTCGGAGGCCAGGGCGGGGCGCAGGCCGGCGGCGGCGAGGGAGGCGAGGGGGAAGGCGCGGGCGGCGCGGGTGGGGCCGAGGCGGGGTGTGAGGAGGGCGGGGTGGTCTGTGAGGAGGTGCAGCGGGTTGGGCACCGGGATGAGGCAGGAGCGGGCGAGCAGGGAGGAGACGTTGGAGAGGCCGGACAGGTGCTGCGGAGGGGGAGGGGGAGGGAGGGTGGTGAGGGGGAGAAGGGGCGGAGGAAGCGACACACACACGGACCCGCCGCCCCAGCAACCCGCACAGCCCCCACGACTGCACCCCCAGCCCACCCGCTGCGGCAGTGCTCCCGTCCCACCCCCTCTCCCACCCCCTCCTGACCCCCTCTCCCACCTCCCTTCTGACCTGCACATGCTCTATCCGCAGCCTCAACCGCTGCCCCAGCTGCCGCCGCCGCACCACCGCAGCTGCCTCCCCTGCTGTTGCTGGTGACGCCCCCTCCGCTTCACCACCCCCTGCCTCTTGCCTCTCCTCCTCCCCCGCCACCTCCCCCACCACCTCCCCCAGCACCCCCGCCACCTCATCCACCGCCCGGTCCCCAATGGCGTGTACGGCGACCTGCAGCCCCGCTCGTACGGCAGCGCCCGCCAGCTCCCGCAGCTCGCCCGCGGCCAGACCGCGCTGCCCGTACTCCCGAGCAGCCCCCCCGCCTCCCTCCCCCTCCTCCTCCCTCTGCTGCCCCCCCTCCTCATCACTGTACGGCGCCCACATCAGTGCCGTACGCGATCCCAAACTGCCATCCGCAAAGTCCTTGAGTCCCCCCCAGAACAGCCGCCCACTGGGGTGCGCCGCCGCCCCCCCCTGCGCCGCCCGCCAGCTCGCCAGCCGCCGCCACGACCGCAGCGGCATGTACGACACCACCCTCAGCGGCAGCCGCCCCGCATCCGCCGCCGGCAGCAGCACCCCCTGCAGGTCCCCCCAGGGCGCCGCCGGGTCGTCCCCACCCAGGTAGCGACCCATGTCGCCAACTGTGGTGACCCCGCGGGTCAGTGCGGTACGAGCGGCGGCGGCCAGTGCGGCGGTCAGTGCGGCGGCGCTCGGCGGCGGCACGGCGGCCAGCACCGGGCGCATGGCGGTCTCGCGCAGCAGACCCGTGGGTCGGTCGCTGCCGGGGTGGCGGTCCAGCTTCCCGCCCGGCGGGTCGGGTGAGTGCGGCCCCAGCCCCGCTGCTGCTAGTGCTGCGGAGCTGGCTAGGGCCAGGTGCAGGTCGGCGCGGGTGAGGAGGGCGGGGCGGCCGCCGCAAGCCTGGGGGGCAGCGTGGGGGGAAGGGGGGGTAGCGTTGGTGGCGGGAGGCGCAGCGGTAAGAGGGGGAGGGGAGAGGCCTGCTGGAGCCCTGGGGAGGCTGCGAGCCCGGGGTGACGTGTGCAGCCTCCAATGGTCCTCCCGGCGCGTTCGGGTGCACTCGAGCTCGTAGGACACAACACCAGGCGGCAGTTCGTCCCCGCACTCCCTCCCACCCCTCCCCTCCCGCCCACCTCGTCAATCCATTCCGCCGAGGGCAGCTCGCCGCCCCAGTCCGCCTCGTCCCACTGCCCCCCCAGCACCCACTGCCCCGGACCCAGCCGCGCAGCCGCAGCCGCCACCCGGGCCGCCACCTCCCCCCGGCTGGCCGCCCCCCGCAGGTCCACCCGGCCGGGAGCCTGCGCCAGTCCGGCTGCCAGCAGGTGCACGTGGGGGTCCACGAAACCCTGGGGGGGGGGGGCAGGGGGAGGCGGGCGGGGGAGGTGGTTGGCTACATGCATACATCCGTGCAGGTGGCCTGGCCGGCCAGGGGTAAGCGTGCGCTAGGGGGGCATGCGGCTCAGCGGACGAGGTCCCAGCCCCCAGCACGAGCGCTCCTCTGCAGCTGACAGCCCCCCGCACACCCCTAACCCAGCCCGCACACCCCTAACCCAGCCCGCACACCCCTAACCCAGCCCGCACACCCCTAACCCAGCCCGCACACCCCTAACCCAGCCCGCACACCCCTAACCCAGCCCACACACCCCTAACCCAGCCCACACACCCCTAACCCAGCCCACACACCCCTAACCCAGCCCGCACACCCCTAACCCAGCCCACACACCCCTAACCCAGCCCGCACACCCCTAACCCAGCCCACACACCCCTAACCCAGCCCGCACACCCCTAACCCAGCCCGCACACCCCTAACCCAGCCCGCACACCCCTAACCCAGCCCACACACCCCTAACCCAGCCCACACACCCCTAACCCAGCCCACACACCCCTAACCCAGCCCGCACACCCCTAACCCAGCCCACACACCCCTAACCCAGCCCGCACACCCCTAACCCAGCCCGCACACCCCTAACCCAGCCCGCACACCCCTAACCCAGCCCACACACCCCTAACCCAGCCCGCACACCCCTAACCCAGCCCACACACCCCTAACCCAGCCCGCACACCCCTAACCCAGCCCACACACCCCTAACCCAGCCCACACACCCCTAACCCAGCCCGCACACCCCTAACCCAGCCCACACACCCCTAACCCAGCCCGCACACCCCTAACCCAGCCCGCACACCCCCCACACCCCCGCCCCCCGCCCCCCGCCCCCCGCCCCCCCGCCCCCCGCCCCCCTACCGGCAGCACGAAGCGGCCGCCCAGGTCGTGCTCCACCACCTCCCCCGCCCCCGCCCCTGCCCCCGCCGGCCGCCCCGGCTCCCCTGCCGCTGCCTCCGCCAGCTGCCGTACCACCGCCCGCACCCGCCCCCGCGAGCCCACCGCCCGCACCTCGCCCCGCCGCACCAGCAGCGAGGTGGCCAGCGGGAGGGGCTGGGCAGGGGAGGAGATGAGGGGAGGAGGGGGGGAGGGGAGGAGGCGGAAGGGGAGAAAGGGTTAAAAGAAGGCACGGACGGCAACAGACGGCACACGCCACACACGCCCTCGCTGCCTCCTCACTCTCCCTCCCTGATCCCTCACCCCCCCTCACCCCTCCCTCACCCCCCACCCTCACCCCGCCCTCATCCCCCCCCTCACCCCTCCCTCACCCCTCCCTCCGGCCGCTCCTGCCCGGTCCAAATGGTGGCGTTGAAGAACAGGTGCAGTCGCCCGTCAGCGGGGGGCGGGCGGGGGGAGAGGGCCGCCTGCGGGGGGTGGGGGGGGGGGGGGAGGAGGGTGCGGGACCAGATGGAACCGTTGCGAGGGGTACTAGGTACGGGATACCACCACGGTAAGCCGTTGGGAGCGGGAGAGGCGTTGGGGACCTCAATCCCCTGCACCCAAGCGTGCCGCACCACACGCGCCTCACCGCGCGCTTGTGGCTCGCTGCTAGGCCGTGCGGCGGGACAGCGCTGCCGGGGCCGCTGCTGCTGCTGCTGGCAGTGAAGCCCAGCGGACAGCTCCCCAGCGACGAGGTGCGGGTGGGGCCGTGTGCGCCCTCATGGTGATGTGGTTGAGGCTCATCGCTGGGCCAAAAGACTGCTGCGAGGGCTACAAGGCCGGCGATGAGCAAGAGAACACGGCCACTGGAGGTTAGCTGCATGGCGCCAAAGGTGGCTCTTTTCAGTATTTTAGTTTAAAATGGAGCATGGACTTTCTCCTTAGGTATTTGCATCAGAGCATCGGGGCCGGATCGACTTCTTCTCTTGCCGTGCATCGAGCCATGGGTTGGTTGGAAATCGCACCCAAGAAAGCGCAGGATTAATATTTGCAACTTGGGTTCTAGAAACGCCACTACCCAAATATACCGCTTTTGGTAACTAACGTCAGTAGACATTTTTCCATTACACAGTAAAGCGACGTTACAGCTGAAGCTCGACTCTTAGCCCGTAAACCGATTCACGTCTTGTTTGTTTCGCTTAGCAGTTTCAGTCAGGACCAGCGGCGCTGGTAGTTGTAGTCAGCTGTCGGCGCCCCAACCGGGGCCTAGCACCCCGGCCCAATGGGGAAGCATAAAGATAAGAAGGACAAGGCGAAGCTTCCTGAGCATCTGGAGCTGAGGCGGGACTATGTTACGTGCGGCGATAGGCTTAACTACAATGTGAGCGCCGCCGGCCACTTGTTGCTTAATGTGTAGTCGCTTCAACAACATATTATGAAAGTGCCAGTTAGCGCTTAGCTCCATACGATCGGGTATGGCCGATGGTGTGCAGAGGCGACACATTAGCTCGCTAGGGCTCATCCCCCATCCCTCAACCTGCAGGTTAACACCATTACGTCCGCCAACACGTTTAACGCCATGGGCGTGGACAACAGCTGGGACTTTGAGGAGTTCAAGGATAACTTCCAAATAGTTATTAACAAATTGGATAAGGAGGTCATGGAGTTCGACTTGATTGGCGTAGACCCAGCTATTGCAAACGCGCTCCGACGTATCTTGATCGCGGAGGTGCCGACAGTGGCCATAGAGCACGTGTTTGTCGTCAACAACACCTCCATCGTTCAGGTGTGTGTCACATTATGAGGATGGATGGTCGCAAGGCAGCTTTACACACCCCGCGTGTATCTTCCTGTTAGACCTTTGCATTGTTGTTTTCCGCTAACACAGGGCTGCATACCCGGCATTCCACCCCAGCGCGGACCCCTGGCATGCCGATGGTGTAAAGCTTGTCGCATCTCTCAACCGTTACCCATCATACCTTCCGCTGGCCCTCCCTCCTCCCGCCCACCCACCCGCACCCGCCCCTCCCCCCCCCAGGACGAGGTGCTGGCCCACCGGCTGGGGCTGGTGCCGCTGCTGGTGCCGCCCGCGCTGTTCGAGGCCAAGCTGGCGGAGGAGGCGCCGAGCGAGAAGAACACGCTGGTGTTCAAGCTGGACATCACGTGCAGGAGGTGGGGGAGGCGGGGGGGAGGCGGGGTGCTGTAGAGGTGCAGCGGACGACATGTCCCACTCCTTACGGGAGGCGGATGAGGGAGGCAGGCGGGTGGTGGTCGAAGGGCTCCGCAGGCGGGTCCAGTGGGTGGTGGAGGTGTGCTGCTTCCTGAGCCGCTGAGGTCTGCCTCTCTCCTCCCTCCCTCCCCGGCCGCACAGGAAGCCGGACGGCAGCTTGGAGAACGATAAAGGTGAGGGCTGAGGGTGGGGGGCGGGTGCGGGGCGGGGCTTCAGTGCTGGCGCCTTTGCCTAGGCTGGAGCTGCAAGACGGGCAGGGCTGCCTCCGCCGCCCACCACCCGACTGCCTCGCTCGCCTGCCCTCCTGCCGCCCTGGCGCTAGCCGCAACGCGACGTCCCCCCTCCCTCCCCCCCTCCCCCCCCCCCCAGTCCTGTCCGAGCACCTGGTGTGGCTGCCCGGGGGCTCCCAGCTGCCGGATGAGACCACCTGTCGCTTCGCAGCGGGCCAGGCGCACCTCTTCGCACCGCAGGAGGCAGCAGCGGGGGCGGGAGCAGCAGCAGCAGCGGATGCCGCCTCCTCCCCCTCACCCTCCAGCCTGCCCCCCTGCCCCCGCGCTGTGCACCCGGACATCCTGCTGGCCAAGTTGCGGCCCGGGCAGAGCATCACGCTGGAGGCGCACGCGACCCGCGGGTCGGGCAAGCAGCACGCCAAGTGGTCCCCGGTTGCCACCGCCTGGTACCGCCTGCAGCCCGAGGTGCACATGCTGCAGGTGGGGGTGGGGGGGGTGGGGTGGCAGGAGGGCTACGAAGAGGTGGGGGGTTGGGAGGAAGCGAAAGAACCATCACGGGAGGGGGGCAGGGGCGTCTGAGTAAGGGCTGGAGTGCCCCCATGAGGCCGGGCAGGGCAGAGGAAAGGGAGGGACAGGACAGGATTGGTAGTGGGTGGGCGCGTAAAGGGGCTCCCCGGGGGTGGCTCGGTTGCACTCGAGGCCGCACTCCCTCCCTCCTGGGGTGGCTCAGTGTATCTAATCCCTCCGGTTGACCCTGGGAACAGGAGCGCTGGCCCGCGAATCCTCCGCCTGCACCCGCAACTCCGCCTCAACTCGCGCCCCCCCTCCCCTCCCCTCCTTGCCCCCCCACCCTCCAGGACGTGCGGGCCGACAGCGATGTGGGTCAGGAGCTGCTGGCGGCCTGTCCGGGGCTGTTCACGGCGGACGAGGGGGGGCTGGTGCGGGCGGGGGCGGCGAGGGGGCACGAGATGGTGCTGGAGAAGGTGAGCGGGCTGGGGGTGGAGGAGGTGGAGGTGGGGGTGGGGGAGCTTGCTGGCTGGCTGGGCCGAAGCTAAGTACGGGTGTGGCGGCCGGGGCGTCGGGCGCAGAGGGTTCTGCGGTGCAGCTGCCGCTGTCGTGACAGCGGTTGACGAGGGAAGCACAGGAAGCCCTTTAGCTCTGTCTGCCCTCCCTCTCCCCTCCACGCCTCTCCTTCCCCTTCCCCTTTCCTCCCCCCTCCAGCTCCGCCGGCTTCTCGAGCAGGAGCGCATCTCCGCCTGCGTGGCCTACCGCAAGCGCAAGGACCACTTCATCTTCACCATCGAGTCAGCGGGGCAGCTGCCGCCCGCCGAGCTGCTGGAGCAGGCGCTGGAGGTGCTGCATGAGAAGGCAAGGAGCCTCTCGGAGAAGCTGTGAAGGGGGGGAGGCTGGGATGGGAAGTGCCGGGAACTGGGAGCAGAAGGCGGGGCAGCGCAGCAGGGACGGAGGAGTGAGGAGGATAGAGCGCACGAAGCAGGGCGGTGCGGAGGAGTCAAGCTTTTAGAGAGTCTGTAACGAATCATCTGAAACGGGGTAAGGGTGGGGTGGTAGGGGGTGGTGGCGGCGCACCGCAGCAGGGGCGGGGGCGCGGCTACAGCGCCTTGAAGGGGCTTTGTGGGTAGACGGCAGGGCAGGGGCGGGTGGTTGAGTGTCAACACTTTAGACATACTAACGTTAGGGCAGGCTGCAGGAGGGGAGGTGCGGGGGCAACTGAGCACTGACTGCCTAGCCAGCGGCGGGGGCACAGACGGATGATGCCAGGGAGGAGGAGGGGGGAGCATGCTGGCAGTTGTGCGGGCGGCGCTGTATGCCCCACTGCCGGGCTGCACGGGGCTCTCCCAGCGGGGGGCAGCCCGGTGGAGCGGCGGGGCGGGTGATGCAGCTGGCTGCTGGTGTATGCGGGTGTGGGGCTGTCAGCGGCCGCTGCAACATGCGGGTGTGCTGCTGGGCGGGGTAGCTGGGCGGGGGCAACAGAGGGCCGAGTGTGATCCTGACCCCGGCACTCGCATCACGGGTGCGTCACACGCCGCCAGGAGGTCTCCCCGCTTGCAGTTGTGATGTTACACAGTGGGGTCCTATGAGGGCTGTCACAGAGCATGTAAGGTGGAAACGAGCCTGAGACCCCTAGACATGCCACTGGAAACGTCTGCAGCACAAAATATCGCACTAAATTCTACCGTAATCAGCGTCTGCACTAACATCTGCAGCGCATAAAGTCGCACAGAAATGTCTGCACTCCTACTGCCTGAAGAATGAAAGGTCCAGCGAGCTAGGAGCCTGCATGCGATGGAGGGCTCTGACGCACTGCACGCTGTGACGCACCGCCGGGCAGCAGGCACCTGCACCTCACCATGTGGGGGTGCCGACATCTGCCCGGCGCGGCAAACGGGGTCCCACGCACGCCTCGCAAGAGTGAAGCCGTACAAGCCACCCTGGCGCGCCTGCGGGTGTCACTGGCAACCCGCCATGCAGGCGCGGTGTGGCTGCTGACGTGGACATGGGGAGTGGGGCTGCGGCAGCGGTGGGCGCCGGACGTACACCCCTGGCCCTGTGATAGGAGCTCCAGACCGCCTCAGCGTGGGCTGATGAGTGGTTTTGTTGTAGTATCTCGTCAGCTGTCGTAGGATAGCAAGGATAGACCTTAAGTCTTAGGGTGGGGTTGCACCACCAAGTATAGGATTCAAAGAAGGAAAGTGGTCCTATCTCCCCTCCAGAGTACTTACATACTCTGTTGCTAACGAGGGCTGTTACGACTTCTGGAGGTACGACAGACCCTCATCGGCGTAGCTGTACTGCCAGGCTATTATGTAGTTATGACACCATAACTTCCAGAACGGAAGGTTTTGAGTCCAGCAGGGGTGGAAGGTGCCATGGGGGTGACTGCGGGACCTAGGCAGCGACTGAGAGCCGTACATGCGGGCCTTCCCTCCAGGACGTGTGAGATAGCTGCGTTACCGGACAGCTACCCGTGCATTGGGGCGCCTCAGAGGAGACATTCTGGCGTTAGCTGCAGGTTGGGACGACAGTAGAGCCGTGGCTAGAGCTTCAGCTGTCTGCCAGCTGTTGCACCCGTCCTCATTAAACGTGTGTGCACGGCCCGGGGGCCAGCCTAGCCAAGCAAATGCGTTCACTGCGGAGTCTCACCGCGCGGCGTGTCGTCAAGTGTGGCAATCACCTCCTATCATGGGCATGCACCTACCGCCGCCTCACCCACCTCCCATGTCCTGCTACACACCTGCTACAGCAACGTAGCCCACCTGCCCGCGAGCCGTGACTAAGGAGCCGGACAGATGCGGCTGTACAACAAAGTCAGCTCGGGGCAGGGAGGGGCTCTACTTATGATGCTGCATGCGGTATGATAACTAACCGCAATGCAACCTGCAACCAACATCACAGCCCAGCCCCCCTCAGGGTGTAGGGCGCTTTCCTCCTGCAAACCATTCTACGCACCAACACGAACCATGAACGCAGGCGCCGCCGGTGCCAACCAGCTCTATTACCCCAAACATGGCCAGCCACCTGCAGCCCTGCACCCACGCCAAGCAAGAAGATGCGGTCGTGTGAAGATCATGAATAAATTGTCTTGAGCATTGCTAAAGGCACATAACGGGCAGCAGCGTCAGTCTCAACCCCGCGAGCGGTCTCTTAGCCGTGTAGGCAGTTGTCATGTTGTCGCGGCGGCGCTGTCCTTCCAAACAACTGCCGCCTGCAGACCAACGTTGTAAGGAACAGCGAGCCCCCGCAGCCCGGCGCCCATGCCAGGATGCACACCGTCCGCTTAGTCCACACAGCAATACAAACATACAACGTCCAAACCGCACCTATCCGCAATATGTGCAACGAGTCTACAATTCAGAAACACAAAATGATGCAGAAAACGAAAGTTCAGCAGCCGCCGTACAGCTAAGGAACCCCTACTGTAACGCCGTACCGTGCACCTCAATGCAAGCCAGGTGAGAGCACGTGTATATCTCATTCGTCGGTGCCGTAGCTCAGAACAACAGCGCTAAAGGCGGAGAGTTAGGGTTGGTAAGTCACGCCGGCAGCCTTCATAATACACAACAACAACCCGCCGCGGTGGGTGGGTGCCAAACGACACACACAAGAGGCGCCGTGCGGTGGGTCCGTCACTCCCGGGTCGCGAGTCGGTTGCGGGGCCCCGCCTGAGGAGGCCCCTCTTTGCAACAGGAAAAGGCAAATATACGGGGCGGCTATAAACGGAATCAAGTGGATTATCGGCGGGGGACTTGTGTTGAGGTCAGGGGACTAATACACAACTACACACCACCTTAGCAGCAGCAGCAAAGTTAGGTCCAGACGCTCCATGCAGGGATGCTGTGTCCCACCCAACACCCTAATAGTCCTGCTGTCATCAGCGCTTTATTATCACTATTAGGAAGCCGTACTGCTGCGGGCGCACCGGCGGCCCACCAGGTGCCGCAAGAGTTGACAACCTAGGTCCAACATAAGCATGTCAGGAACACGCACTGCGCGCCTGCCCTACCACCCACCAGTCCCACCACACATGCGGCGAACCCACCAGCCCCACACCTGCCGCCATGCAGTGCGGCCAGCCCTTGTCCCGCCAGCTGCACTCGTCAAAACGGTTGCAGGACGCCGCACCCATTCGCGCACCTCTCGGCGGCACACACCTCGAGCAACACACGGTCAGCCCCCATGCTTCAAGGTAGGACACACGTTGCGGTCGCGGTTCTCACTTCGGTCATATGTACAACAAGAAGCAGTGAAGTCGCCACGGCGCCGTTCTGGCAGCACCCGTTGCAGCAGCAGCAATTGCTGTCCCCTCGTGCCATCTTACACCACCCGCCCACTCCACTCTGCCGTACCGGCTCCCCCCCTCACGCGCCCACCTGCCCCAACCGGCTGCGCAGCCCCGGACTCACCCCCACCGACCCCACACTCGGCCCCGCCCCCGCCCCCGCCATACCCGCTCCTGGCACCCTCGCAGCCGCCTCCACCTCGCTCCCGTTCCAGGTGGCCCGCGCCTGCACCCCGCCCGCCCCCACCAGCGCACTGTCGCTGTCATAGTTCCGCTGCTGATGCAGGGTGGGCGCCGAGGTGCGGCTCGCCTCCTGCTGGATCTGCTGGTGCGCGGCGGCGCCGAAGCGGCTGCGAGCCAGCGGCGTAACGGGGGCGCCGGTGAGGGCGCTGGTGCCGCCCCCGGCCCCGCCCCCGCTGCTGCGAGCCATGATGTCCGCCGACACGGAGCTCAGGATGCTGATGCCGCTGCCGTCCATGCCGTACAGCCCGCTGCCGCCGCCGCTGGTGGGCCGCAGCACGGAGGGCAGCACCAGTCCGCCATCAGTGGCGCCCGACCCGCAGCCCGACACCCGGGGCGAGGAGCCCGAGGTGCGCCGAGGCAGCTGCAGACCCCCGAACTGCAGCCCACCCCCGCCCGCCCCCGCCACCGCAGCTCCCCCGCTGGGGTCCCCGGCGAGAAGCGAGGAGCCTCCAAAGGGCGCCAGGAAGGAGCTCTGCAGGGACACGCCGTCGCCGTTGGTGGAGAAGCGCCCCGGAGGCGGTTCTGAAGAGAAGTGGCTCCGGTAGGGGGACGTCGCACGGGCAGTGAGCGGGGAGGGGCCACGCGGGTTGCCCGCCTGCGCGGCCGGGGAGGAGGCCAGTGGCGTGCCGTCGTAGGTGGCCCCGCGCGGCGCCCCCGGACCCACCATGTTCGCCCCCAACCGGGCGAAGCGGCTCACCGGCACAGCGGACTGACCCGTGGGTCCGCCGGCGCCGCCTCCGCTGGCCGCCCCGGGTTGTTGCTGCTGCGGTGCAGTTTGAGGCGCCTGCTGCTGCCCCCCCGGCCGCTGCTGCTGCTGCTGCCCCGTCATGGCGGAGGGCGCCGCACCCGGACAGGACTGCATGGGCCGGGGGGCCGCTACCGGCAGCGAGAGGATGCGGGAGGTCACGTCCGACTCGTCCTGCGGCTCCTCGTCGTTGCTGCGCAGCGATATGAAGTCGCTCTGCACGGCCCGGATGGAGCGCTTGTGCTGCGGCGGGCCGCCGGTTGAGAAGTCCCCTGCGGGCGGGGCGGACTGCACCTGCTGCGGCCGCCCCGCCGCCCACTGCTGCTGCTGCAGGAGCAGCAGCTGGGCTTGCTGGTCGGGGGTGAGGGGCTGGGAGGACTGGGACGGCGGCGCCTGCGGCTGCGGTCGTACCGGCTGCTGGAGCTGCGGTTTGGACATTATCCGCAGCGGCTGCAGCTGCTGGTGGGACTGCGTACCCGGGGCCGACTGGGTTTGCTGGGGCGGCTGGGGCGGCGACTCCTGCTGCTGCCCAAACTGCTGCTGCCCAAACCGCAGCCTAGAGGTCTGCTGCTGCGGCTGTTCCTGCTGCGGCCGCGAGGCGGGCTGCTGCTGCTGCCGCGCGGGGTCGGCGGCGGGCTGGAAGCTGTTCAGCAGCTCGTCCACGTCAAAGTCCGCGTAGTCCGAGTGGGCCGGCCGCCCGGCTCGCGCGCGCGGCTGCACCAGAGGGGACAACGCGGCGAAGGACTCGGGGGGCGCGCTGACGACCTCTCGCGGGGGCGCAGGCTCCATGGGAGGGGCCGCGGCGGGGGCCACGCTGCTGATGCGGAACCGCCCCACAGCGAGGGGCGGCTCCGGGGGGCCCTCCTGCGCGCGCTGGGGCGGGATGTCCGGTCGGCCGTAGGACGGCGGTGGTGGAGGTGGGGCGTGCTGGTAGCCGCCCGGTGGCGGCGGTGGGGGCATGTCCGGGTGCTTGTAGGCGGTCTGCAGCTGCGGGGGCGGGCGCCAGGGCGCGATGATGGTGGTGGCGGAGCCGGCGGAGGAGCAGTCGCCCTCGTCCTCGCTGCCCTCCTCCCCGCCTGCCTGGGGGGCACCTGCACGGCCGCCCGCCGCCTCCCACCGGCGCTCCGGCACCTCGCAGATCCGCTGCAGTCCCGCCCGCTGCTCCCCGCTCGCAGTAGGCACCGACTTGCGCCACAGCCCGCCGCCCTGGTCGCCCCCGTCCTCCGACGTCAGCCGCTGCTGCTGCTCCTGCCGTGCCTGCCGCCGCCGCTGCAGCGCCGCCAGCTGCCCGCCGCTGCTGCTGCTGCAGCTGCCCGCACTCGCGGCCTCCAGCTCGCCCCGCCGCGCCTGCCAGGAGGACAGCTGCGAGGAGGAGGAGGGCATCGCAGCCCCCAGAGCGGGAGGGGGGTCGGGGATGGACACGGCTAACCGGAAGGGACCCGCATGCCCCCCGTACACCCCCGCACCCGCCGCCCCGCCGCCTGGACCCGGACCCGGCCCGGGACCCGGGCCGGTGGCTGGGCCCGGCACATCGCCGGCACCGCTGTAGCGGGCAGTCGGCGAGGGCGAGGCACCGGCCGCTGCCGCGTGGTAGCGGATGTGGCCGCTGCTGCTGCGACCCGGCGGCGAGGGAGGCGGCTGCGGGGAGATGCGAGCGGGCGGAGGAGCCGGAGCTTGCTGTGGTGGGGAGGCCTGGGCGGCCGCTGGCTTGCCCCCCGCTGCAGGCACGTCCACCCCCGCTGCCGCCCCCCACAGCGCCGCGATCTCAGCTGCCAGCGACAGGTCCGCCTCGTCAGCCGGTGCTAGTGCGGGTGGCCGCGGGGGCGCCTGCGGTGCGGGGGAGGTCGCCGCTGCGGGCGCAGGTGCTCGCCCCGGTGCGGGGCCCTGCGCCGGAGCTGCCCTAGCGGTCGGCGCCGGCGGGGGAGGGGGAGCCGGCGGAGATGCTGGCGCCCGGTCTAACCGCTGTGCAGGTGGTGGTGCTGGTGGTGGCGCCGCCTTTGTGGGTGCCCCCGCTAGTGGCGCCGCTTTCGGTGCTGCTGGCGGCACATGTGCGTGCCCCGCCCTCAACGCCTCTATCGCTGCATTGGAAGGCCCCGCCGCCTGCCGCTCCTTCCGCTCCTCAGCCTCCCTCTTGGCTGCACGGGAAAACGGGGCAGAGGGGCAGGGAGCGATGAAGCGCCTTTTCCTGGGAGCTTACCTAGTCACGACCAGCAAAGCAGCACCTTCAAGACCCCCGCCACAAGCCCGCCCGCTACCCCTCCCGCGCTGCAGCCGCCCACCTGCTTCCGCCGCCACCTGCTTAAACGCCAGCGCCCTGGCCTTCTGCGCGTCCTCCTGCCGCTTCCGCTCCCGCAGGAGGGCGATCTGCCGCTCCTCGGGGTCCAGCTCGTCATCGCCGTTGCCGCCGTCGTCCCCGCGCTCGCCCCGCTCGCCGCGCTGGTACTTGGCCATACTCTTCCGGGACTGAAACAGCGGCAGCAGGGGCAGCACACACGGCGGGGGGGGCCACGGCACAGGGGGCGGGTCACCACACCGCACTCCTACCACAGCTCCCGGCACCAGCGGGTGCAGCAGGGCTCCCTCCCTAACAGGCCTACACCCACAAGGCCCATCAATCCCCCCAGGAAGCTCACCGCACGGCTGCCCTCCCGCGCCTGCGCCCGCACGCCCGCCCCCTCGAAGTCGCTGTAGTCCTCGGCCGCTGCAGAGCGCTTCTTGCGGCCGAATGCATTCACGTAGTCCGCCCGCTCGTCCTCGCTGGTGGAGTCGTCGTCGTAGATGAAGCCGTCCAGGTCGTCGTCGTCCGTGTCCACATCGAACTCGTCGCGGCGGGCGCGGCTGGCGGTGCTCTTTGCCACGGAGTTCGCCCGACTGGTTGCTGAGGACACGTGGTTGGGAGTGGCGATGTGCTTCAGCTTGTCGAAAATGCTGACCTTTTGCCCCTTGAATGGGGCAGCCTGGGAGGGCAGGGGTGAGGAGGGCGAGGGTAATGTGGGGTGCGAGGGTGGGGAGGGCAGCGGGGAAAGACTGCAACGTACCCGGGCCATTCAGCTCCCGTTGGGTTTCAACGGGATTTTAGAGGTCACGCGGGTTTTTACACATTATAACTGTACTTACTGGCTTTTCTTGCGCATGTATTGCCACGTGCTTCCCTTGCTTAGGTAGGGGCGGGTTCACCGAATCCTGTGCATGGTTGACGAGGAACCTCAGTGGCTCAAGGACATAGCACAAATAGGTAAGCAAATCGAAATGAGTCTGAAGCTTTTAATCAAATTTTATTCGATAACAAAAAGGCCGGACAGCTAGATAGCACTAGCAAAGGAGCATGAGAAATTGCAGCACGCCTCACCCTTGAGGCTTCCACTCCTGTAACCGGTGCTACTACTCCATTTGTGCTAGTAGGCTTATCCGCCGAAGGAGCTCCTGCGCTGCCTCCATTTGCAGTAGGGGCACTTGCTGAGGGCTTAGTGCCCGAAGAAGCACCAGCCCCCATTGTATGGGACAATCACTAGACCTTTTGGAGTTAAGCAAATCTTTCGGTATGACAAGGGGTCTGCTACTTATTATGACTGCCGGACGAGAGTAGTAAAGCTCGCGAGTGTACCTAAAGCCCCCGCAGGCAGTCTCGGCAATTGCAATATCTCAGAGTAAAGCGACGTAGCAAGAACTAGGTAAGAGGTCACAAATCTTCTGGAATTGTCTCCCTTGCGTGGGCATTGTTCTACATTGGAGCGTGTGTTGCCTCGGGGAACGTTCGGAAGCATGTCATCTAAGTGCTTGTAGCATCACTTCTTAGTTTTCTGCGTCGTTTGCGCTGATCGCTCTGTTCAGTCCTTTTCCGTACAGGACGTCATGTCACAAATTGCCCCGTCCGAGAAATTACCTAGCATAGGCACCTGTTGGAAAAATGGCTATCTAACATAGAGGCCATTTGGGGTGGCGTAATAACGCTTTTACAGTAATCCTCCTAAACCCGTCAACTTGCTAGGAACCTTGGTCGTTGACGAGCCTACCCTAAGCAGCATAACCGACGCATAGCCTCCGGGACGCAACCGTTTAGGCACAACAAAGCATGTATATCGTGTGTCGGCTGTGCGGGACTATCCTGTATGAATGTCGCTATAAACCGGGCACCATCCTATGATACCCGAAGCCGAACTCGGAACCCGGCGGGCAGGGATCTATCCTAAATAGCACATTAATGTATTGGTAGCGACACAATCGATGATAAATAATGCATCTATGCAAGCCTTCAGCGACAAGGCTGAGCCTCGCATGAACAACACAAACGCTTCGGACTGCGCGTGATGCTGTCCTTGTGTCGCGTATGATAGCTTATACTGTTTCTTCAGTGGCTAAACTCGGTTCCATCGTATTGTGTTTTTGCCTTAGTAAGGGTGTTGCAGGTTCTGAGCTTGGCGTAGCAGCAAGTGATGGCCTGTCCAGGAGGTACCTAGTGCCGATAGGGTTCGGAGGCGCCGTACGGTACTTGGTTCGATCTGGCAAAGCAACTGTCCCCTGCATGCATTTCTAAGCATCTCTTAGACGCAGCAGGGCATGGGTCAACTATCAAATAGACGGTAACTAGCCCTGACAGGTCAACCACAAACCCATTGAAGGCCCCAGCAGCTGCCATCAAGACCCCTAGAGCTGAACAGAGCTAAGCCAGCTTCCTACGCCTGAACTCACCGCCCCTCCTGGTTTGGATCGCTTCCATATTTTGGGCTTGGAACACTGCAAGGAACACGCTAAACATGGAGGTGATTGGTTGGTTGGCTGGGGAATGGGACTCGTTCGGCACGGCAACCATGCAGCCGGTGACGCCGTTCGCTGCCATGCCCACACTGTGCCATGCCCTATTCCCGCTGCAAGGTCCTTACGTCGTCTGTACGAGTGATGCTTCGCGGTGCCGTACAGCTTTACTCCCCAAATGCACCTCAATCCAACAAAATTCAGCAATGTCAGAGCATTATAGTGTATGCGATGCTGAATATTTACTGATCTTGACAGCCAGCAAATCTGCGGTTCATTTTCGGAGCCTGGCCTCAGCAGTGTAGCCCACAGCCGTCCATTTTGTTTGCATTAGGAAAGACCATTGCAAGCATAACCATTTGTAGGCGAACTTCCACAATATTACTGCGACGGCAGCTATGGCGGGGCGACCGGCGAAGGCGTTATACAGGTGTTTGCATAAGCACCGCTTGCCTAGGTCTCGCTAACAGCGGCACAGGGAGCCCACCTTCCAAACCCGCCCGCCCCCTTGACAGTCAGCCCGAAGACGACTGGACCACGCCCCGCTTTGTTTGCGAGCGGGTCTGCGTCAGTGACAAGCTGGTGGCCGCGGTGGGCGGTGCTGCAAAGGTGCGGGTGGGCTAGGGCGCTTGCCTGTAGCGAGGGCTAGGGCGCCCAGGGCCCCTCGCCCTTGGGTCCGGCAGCCGTGAAGCTCATTGGCTGTGAGCTGCCGGGGCTATGGCTAAGGGGGACAGTGGCTTCCCGTGTGTGCGTCTTGTACCGGTATGTCCTGTATGGTGACCAGAGGCAGTGCTGCGCCCCCACCCCACCCCGCAGGAGGCTGTTCCCGGCAACTGTGTGACTGTGTGCGGCGTGTCAGGTGCGGCACGCGTGTCAGCCTGCCTCTCCTCCGCCCGCCTGCATCACCAGCTGACGCAGCGGCCTGGCTGCCTTGCATGCCTTGTCTTGCTCGCTGCCAGACACTGGCGCCGCCCGCACACGTTGAAGAAGCCCTGTGGGGTACGCGCACACGGCATCGCATGCCAACATGCGTGCTTCCTCCGTCCTTCCCCTAGGTTGCCACTATCATTCAACACATTGGGTCTTCTTCTTTCCCTCCCTCCCTGCAGCGGTGGACGCCTGCACGGAGGCGTGCCAGCGGGCGGTGTGTGTGGCGGCCACCCACGTGCCCGCCTGGAACGAGGGATGCATCCGCCGCTGCACCGCCGAGTGCCTGCGGACCAAGCAGCAGCAGCAGCCCCCCGAGTCACAGCAGTCGTAGGGGGGGAGGGAAGACGAATGGATTGTAGGGGCCCGGATGGAAGACGAATAGACGGTGGCAGGATGATGGGATACAGGGAGGCCCGCGCATGCTGTGTGACTTGGAGTTGAAGGTTGCGTTGGTTGCATTCCTGTGGCATCACCCCTGCGGAGGGGGACCATGAGCTGCCGCGAGCTGCTGGGGCCAGCTGCTTTTGCAGTGCGCTTTGACACGCCAAGTGCTTGGCCCCGTAGGGACGTTGAGGTGGATTGTGTGCAATGGAATGCTGCGGCGTGGGGGCGCCGTGCCTTAGGCAGCAGCCATCTAGCGATGCAGGGGTAGTGGGGTGCACTGCAGCACAAGGAGGTGAAGCGGCGTGGAAGGGTGTTGCAAGCTCAGACAGGCAGGCACACTGCAGGCATGCAGACACCCGTACCCAGGTGCGGGAATGACAGGCCTTTTTACTAATCCGGTAGACGAGATGCCAGTCCGCTCTTCAGGAGGATGACAAACGACCATAAAGCGTGCAGCGCTGTCCCTTCCGTGGGAACACCCTGCAAAGTCCAAGCATAGTCCAAGCTAGTGGTATGCCTAGCTGCTAGCCTCTCCCCACTCCCCCCGGATGGCCTCCAACAGCTGCTGCCCCAACGCACCCGGCGCCAGGTCCGCACCCCCGGCTCTGGGCCGCTGCAGTCTGTCAGCCCCTGCAAGGCCCTCAAGGTCACCAGTCTGCAGCCGCCGCTTGCGCAATCTCTTTCCCTCATGTGCACAAAACTCCGACGGTACCCCTCAAGCTCACCCATCTCAAGTGCACGCAGGCAACAATACACCCATCTGTTTGCCTCACTAAGGCCTCTTCCGTCTGCTGCTCACGACCCCATCTACCGCTACCCCCAGCTCCGTCCCATTACACAGCGCTACCCACTAACACCGCCTGCCACTGCTCCTCCTCCTCTTCACGCCTGCTGCTGCTGCTGCAGCCAGGCCCTCAGCTGCTCCACCCGCTCCCCCAGCGGCACGTACGCGCCCTGCTCCGCCACCTCCTGCGGGCCGGTCAGCCGCGCCAGCACCTCCAGCTGCTCGCCCACGTCGGGCCCCGCCATGCGGCCCGTGAAGGCGATGCGCATGGGCATGTACAGCCGCTTGCCCTTGCGCTTCTGGGCCTTACCCACGGCGTTGACCCAGGTCTGCGGGGGGGTGGGGGAAGGGGGCGAGGAGAGGTGAGGAGGTGGGAGGGGGCCGCCAGGGTGCACAGGTCTCGCGCCTCGGGTGGCTGCAAGCTTTCGATCAGTCAACAATTGTAGCATGTGCTGAGAACAGATATCGATAATGAGGTCAAGCTGTTTTCCCGGCACCTTAAGCCATACCCGTCAAGCTAGAATCCTAACGCATCCACCCACCCACGCCCGCCGATCCAGGCACCGAGCTGCACATTGTTACCCTTGTACGCCGCCCAACCGCTGCGCACCCAACCGCTCCCCGCCCCACCTTGTACCCCTCGTGACCCCCCGCCAGCGCCGCCGCCAGCTCCCCGCTGTCGTGCGCCGCCACCACCGCCTCCGCCACCTGCGCGAACCCGTCCGCCACCACCGCCGCCGCCTCCGCCGCCGCCAGGGTGTCGGCCAGCGGGTAGCCCAGCAGCCGCCGCACCTCCGCCTCGCAGTCGGTCACCAGCTCCTGCAGCGGGGGGTTTGAAGATGATGATGAGGTAGGATCGGTTGGTCGCTAGGGTAAAACACACCGCGTTTCCCAGGTAGCGACATGTCATCACAGCAGGGACAGGCGGGCGCAGCGAGGGCCAGCCATGTAAAAAAAGCCATGGCGATATAAGAGCGGACAGCAGGTGTCTCCTAGGCAGCAGGTCCCCATGGAAGCCGGGTCCCCGGGTGTCCCCGGGCGCCTCCACCCACCATGCTCTTGCTGACCAGCTTGACCGCCGCCGCCGCGAAGGGGGTGTCTGCCGCCGCCAGCAGCCCGCAGCTCACCAGGTGGCCGGTGGCCATGGAGGTGAACTGCGGCTCGGGAAGGGAGCGCAGGTGCTGACCGTTCATCCAGCCCAGCTTCACCTGGGGGAGGGTAAGCAGGCGGGGGCGGGGGCGGGCGGGGGGGGGGTAAGGAGGAAGGAAATGGACGGGGCTGTGTACAACACGGCTTAGCCTGGCGGGGAGGGGCGGGTGCCCGAGTACACGCAATTTCAGCCGGCTGGTCGGAACACCGCAAGACCTTTCCACTCAGAAGCCACCGCCACTCAGATCCCCTCAGCGGCTGTACCCCATGCTCGCCCCTTCCCCCTAACGTCAACAACTTCCCCTTCTCCCCACCTTGTCAAACACCGCTGCGCTCTTTGTGATGCGGTCGAGGCTGAACTTGTCGCTCAGCTCCTCCACGCTGAAGATCTCCTGCTCGCTGCCGTCGTTCCACCCCAGCAGCGACAGGAAGTTGACCATGGCGGCGGACAGGTAGCCCTGCGACCGGAACTCACCCACACTGGTGGCGCCGTGGCTGGGGGGGAGGCGGGGGGAGGGGGGGCGCAGGATGGTACTGGGCGTGAGGGGGCTGCGCTTGCGACCATGGGGTAGTGCACCTCTCAGCCTCTCAGAGGCAGGAGGCCTCTTGCTGGTGCAGGCGTCGCCGGTGCTGGGCGCCAGTTCGCCCTTTCAATGAAGCTTAAACTCCCCCCCGCTTGCAAGCCGGAACCTCTTTTCCCCCCTGCACCGCCCCGCCTCACCGCTTGGACAGCTTGCTCTTGTCGGGCGCCAGGATGAGGGAGACGTGGCCGAACTGCGGCACGGGGAATCCGAGCGCCTGGTAGATGAGCATCTGGCGCAGCGTGTTGGGCAGGTGCTCCTCGGCGCTGGGGGGGCAGGGAGGGAGGGCAGGGAGGGAGGGCGCATTGGACGAGTGTATTGTGGAGTGGACAGCAGGGTATGCAAGCTGCAGCCGCTCAGGGCAGTGGTGCATGTTAAGATGCGCAGCGCTTGCACTCCCGCGGGTACTGAGCGACATGCCCACATGACCACAAGGCGCGGCTCCTCTTGACAAGCGGCTCCCGTGCACTTCACGGAACAGCCCCCCCCCGGTTAGTGCGGGTGACTGCCCTCCGCAGCGGACCCTTCCCTCCCCCCCCTACCGCAGCACGTGTGTGATTCCCATGAGCGCGTCGTCGACCGCCACACAGAAGTTGTACACGGGCATGCCGTTGGAGCGCAGCACCACGAAGTCGCCCAGCGTGTCGGTGCTCCAGCTCACCTCGCCACGGATGAGGTCCTGGATGCGGACCAGCTGGTTCTGGGGGGGGGAGGGGGGAGGGGGAGGCAGGGGGCATGGTAGGATGCGGGTGCAGGCGTGAAGCGCACGCCAGGAAACAGCGGCCGCGTCAGCAGAGGCATGCCTGGACCTGCGGGCACCTGCTGGCCAGGGAGCCGCAACAGCCGCTCCCCGCCCCCCGCCCGCCTGCTCCCGCTCCCTACCCGCCTCCCATGGCGGAGCTTTCTCAGAGGGTTACGCTCCTTGCTCTTCCGCCCCACCCCCCCACCTGCGGCACCCGGAAGCGGTAGCAGTACGGCAGTCCCTTCGCCACCGCCTCCGCCACCTCCTCCGCACTGGCGCTCGCCCACTTGCCGCTGCGGAGGGACACGGGGGGGGCAGCAGGCGGGAGGGGGGCGGAGGAGTGGAGGGGGGAACTACACCGTTCCGCAGGAGTGCAGGACGAGCTGCTAGTTAGCGGACACATATTGGGCATGGCATGCAGAGGCAGGTGCGCTAGATGATACGTCTTTTAAGCCCCGGTCACCCCCCAGTGGAGGCCCCCACCCCTCACCGGTAGATGGGCGGCAGCTTCTTGGCCACCGCCTCCTGCTTCATCCTGCGGGGGCGAGGGGGCGGAGCGAGGGGGCGGAATGGGGAGGAGGCTGGTGGGTGACGGGAGCTCGCTGGGCTGCACACCGCCCCCCACCCCCTAGCAGCAAGCAGCTGCCGGGGCCGCGGCAGCACATCAAGAGCCGCTACCGCTACCCGCGCACCGGCATCCCGCGCCTGTCACGATCCCTGCCCGCTCCCCCTCCTCCCTCCCCCCCCTCCCCGCACTCACGCTTCCAGCTCCTCGTCCGTGCAGAAGCAGGGGTAGGCCTTCCCCGCCGCCACCAGCCGGTCCACCTGCGCCTTGTAGATGGACAGCCGCTCGGACTGGCGGTAGGGGCCGCAGGGGCCGCCCACGTCGGGGCCTGGGGGGGAAGGAAGCGTGCGGGAGGGGGGGGAACAGGGGAGCAGGGGGCATGCGGGGGTCAACAGGGCGCAGGCCGCCTGGTCAGCACGGCTGGTCGCGTGCCGCCTGCCCTCCATGGCCGCTCCCTGCCTCAGCGGGTCAACGGTGCTGCTCTCCACGGCCGCCTCGCACCGCCTGACGGGGCACTGCGCCCGCAAGGGTGTGCAGCGGGCGCCGTGTCATGTCCCCCCACCAGCGCTCCCGCCCCGCCCCTCCCACCTTCGTCCCAGTCCAGTCCCAGCCACTTGAGGTCGCGCACCATGGCCTCCTCGGAGGCGCGCGTGGAGCGGGCGGTGTCGGTGTCCTCAACGCTGGCGGGAGGGGAGGGGGAGGGGAGGGGACGGGATGGGTGTGACGCAACAGTTGGTTGCCCCTAGGAGGGCCCTTAGCCACGCCCTGGGCGTCACCTCCTCCTCATTGCTAATGGGGGTGTGTTCGTTGTTGGAGTAGCGGGCAGCGACGGATCCGGCAACTCAGGCACCTTGATACCCGCTTCCAATGGTAACCCAAGCAAGCCAATTCGTTACGCCTGAGATCCCCCTTCCCCGTCCACGCCAGCCTCACCGCAAGATGAACTTGCCCCCCGTCTTCCGCGCATACAGCCAGTTAAACAAGGCCGTCCGTGCGCCTCCGACATGGAGGTTGCCGGTGGGTGATGGGGCGAAGCGGACGCGAACCTACGAATTGTACTGGATACTATGAGGAGGTTTCGCGACCAGTTGTAGATCTATTGTAATGGAACGAGGAAGTTCATGGTCTTTAACAGCAAGCACTTGATTGCAAGCACCAAACAAGGATATCCCCTGGATATCACTTCGTGCCTATAATTGATAAACTGACAAACCTGTTGAGGTTTAGCTGTTGTAACAGCGGCAGCGGGAGCCTCTTGTAGGGCTGCACTGGCGAATGCCCTGACAACTGCCCTGCAATGTCACGCTACGTTAAAAACAAGCTTTACATTAAAAAGTATAGCAGCGCGTGTCAATTAAACGTACCGACGACAAACAGGTGCCTGCAAGAGGAAACCGCCGAGTAGGGTGAGTTGATGCATTACAACGCTCGGAGATCTTTCTATAGTTCATGTTAGTTCAGCTCACCCTTATGGCTTTGAAGCAGTGAGGTCCCCTGATAAATACATTTCGTGCAACCAGCTGCTGCGGAGTCATGGTCGCCATTCTGCACACCGCCCTACAAAGATTGGGCATACACACACGCCTTCTCCACAAACTGCTGCGATACGACAGACAACCTTACTATCAAGAGTCCTTGACGGATCTCCGGCGTACGACAATTTCGCTATTAAGCGCCGCTCAAATCCTCATAACCTGAAACTGTACAAGAGACCCACGGCCGTAGGTTAGGCAAGCTATGGTCTCAGATCGGGAGATACTCGGCGACGAGTCGTCCGTCGGCCCATTAACTTCGTGGCGAACAACGCAGCCCTGGACAGCCTCATAATCGCCATGGCAAAATATAATCTAACCCCCGGCCAATTGAGTTTTATGTCTGAGCAACCTAATAAGGTGCCATGTCAACGACGTATGCGAGCAAGGGGGCTCGGCTAGACCCTACTTTCATGGAACTACTCGGCAAAAGAACCTCCGTATGCGTCAATCTTCTTAGGTGGCCACACTCGTCACAACCTCCCATACCAAAGGAACTGTGCACATTGCTACTGAACTATCTCATCTAGCTACTAGACCGGTATCGGTGTTCAAAGCCAACCGGGCCGAGCATGCTCTTCTCTTAGTCCTAATCCAAGGTGCCATATCCTCATAGCAACTGAGATGCGCCTTTCAGAGCCCCCTCAATTCCGCACCCGCTCAAGGCCGCCACCCTCCCCACACCCCAGCCAGCCACCATCCAGCCCCCCCACCCGCGCTCACTGCTGCCCCCCGAACTCCACCTCGTAGCTCCATGTGCCCTGCGTGGCGTCCGCCACCACCGACAGCTGCAGCACCTCGTACAGCTTCTCCAGACCGGCCTGGGCCTGGGGTGAGGGGGGGAGCAAGGGGGGCAGGAAAGGAAGGGGTGAGGAGGGAGAAGCAAGGCACTGTAATCCCAATCCCATGAAGGGGAGGAAACGGGGAGACAACACCCGGTAATGCGTTTATAACCCCAGACATCCTGCGCCGGTCGGCATTCGGCTGCTGGCAGCACAGCAGCCCGTGCGCCACCATGCGGCTGCTGACCGCCAGGAACCCATGCGAGCAGTGCTGCGTGCCCCCAAGCAACACCCGCCACCTCCCAAGGGGCGTGTCAAGCCCGCCCCCACCTCGAAGGTCTTGACGATGAAGTGGTTGGGGTCGTCTTCCGGCTTGCCCAGCGCCCAGTCTCGGATGGGCCGCACCCGCAGCATGCCGTTCTTGGTGGTGGGCAGCGGCGGGGGGGCGGCGCCCGGCTGCGCGCCCGCCTGCAGCGCCGCCGCGTCGCGCCGGTAGTCCGCCACCAGGGCCATGAAGTCGCCCAGGGTCAGGGAGCTGGGACCTGCGGGGGGGATTAGATAAACTGAGCCGCGGAAACACTGACCCTGACCGTAGGTTACCGGAAGGACGGGGCGGGGAGGGACGGTGGGGGGGTTGCAGGGAGAAGCATGCCGTACTAAGCATGGTAGTAGGAGGACAAGCACGCCCTCACGCTTGCAAGCCTGGTCTGCATGCGGGTTGACTGCCAGTCAGTCCCGCCCACCGTGCGGCCCGCCCACCCACCCACCTCCTAGCCCCGCCTCCTCTGCGAGCGGCCGGAAGCGCAGCGGGCTGGTGGTCTCGAAGGCGTGCGCCAGCAGCGTCTCGCGGAGGGTCCGCGGCTGCCGCTTGAAGTAGTCGGACAGCGCCTGAGACAGGCGGGCGGGGGAGGCGGCGGGCGGGGAAGGCAGCAGCAGCAGCAGCTTGCCCGTCAGGCGCTTCACTCCTACCGTACACGTTTGGGGCTGCCAATAGCAGCAGCATTCCGCCGGGCAGGAATGTTGGGTTTCCCAACCAACGGGTTCACCCCAGCGCCTGCGCTCGCTGAGCCCTCTCCAAGCGCCCCCCCCCCAGCCACCCGCCAGCCCCCCCCCGCACCCCCCACCTGCAGCGTCTGCGTCCTGGTCTCGTAGTGCACCCGGTACACCTCGCGCGGGTCCACAGCAGGGCCTCGGGGGGAGGCGGGGGCGGAGGAGCCGGCTCGCTCGCCCCCGGCGGCTGCTCGCGATGCGGCGCCGGAGCGGCCTCCTGCAGGCAGCAACCCACATCAGGGTTAGTAAAGCAGCTCGGACTGTACGGCAGCATGCGGAAACGCAGTACACTTGGGCGGCCCCTCGCTCACCTGCTGGCTCGGTGGGAGGCAAGCTCTCGTCCACCAGCTGAGGGCGGGAGGAGGCGGGGGAGGGCAGGAGGAGGCGGGAGGAAGGGCGGTGTGTGGGTTTCAGGGTGGTGGTGGCCAGGAAGAGGGGGCATGGACTCAGTCAGCAGGCCGCAAGAAGCACCGCACAGCGAGGTCCCAACCTCCCCACCACATACACCCAATATGTATACTTCACATCGGCATAAGTCGTCTCAACAGCAACCGCCGGTGCATCTCTCCCCGGTGGACAGCGGCAGTCAGTGTTATTACGCGGTCCAGTTGACCCAACACCCTTGCGCGCCCTCCCTCCCCACCCCTCCCCTCCCGCCCCACCTTGACGCGGTAGATCACTACCTTGGCCGCCCCCGTCTCCTTGTCCGCTGCCAGCCGCCCCTCCACCAGCACCTGGGGCCAGGGAAGGGAGGGGAGGGGGGAGAGGGAGGAGGGGGAGAGGGGAGGAGGGGCACACATGGGGAACCGTTCGGCTGCCGTACACCGGAGGAAGGGGCAGGGGGGCTGTACGGGCTCTGAAGCCGGGAGTGCCGCTCGCTAACGCTACGTAGCTAGCACCCAGCCGTCGACATGCGCAGAGCTGCCCCCTGTGTGGGCACCGCTAGCACCCAGCCTCACCGCTGTGACATAGCGCCCCTCAGCCCCCGCCCCCCGCCCCCCACCTCGGCTCCCATCGCGCCCTCCAGCAGCGCCGCCTCCGCGTCCCACCCCTCCAGCAGGAAGTTCTGGTGGCCTTGCCTGGGGGCGGCAGGGCGGGGGGGCGGCGGGAGGGGAGCGAAGAAACGGTGGGTAGGTGGAAGGCGCCTTGTGCGTTGGGGCTGAGGTGGCCCCCACGTCGCTCTGCCCCCCCACCCGCTGCTGTCACACCCACGCAGCAGCACTCACTTGGTCGCGAAGGGCACCGACATAACGGCGCGGAAGGAGCGTGCTTTCTGCGCAGGGAGGGCAGAGGGTGAAGTGAGGAGGTACGGGCGCGGCAGCACTGGCGCCATCAGCCGCCAGCAGCGAGGGCACACGGACCCCCCTCTGCGCCTAGGGGTTCGTTGCCATTCCCCACCCTTCGCGACTTCTCCTCTTCTTTCCCGGCCTCTCCACTCACCTTGTCCACCGTGCTGGACACGCGCCCGATCAGGGTGACCGAGTTGATGAAGCGGCGCCCGGGGTTGACCCGCTCCAGCCGGACTGGCTCAGCGGGGGCGGCGGCAGCGGGGGCGGGGGCAGCGGGGTACGCGGGCGGGGCCGCCGGTGGCGGCGCTGAGTAGCCTGATAGGTACTGCTCCTGCTGCAGCGGCGGCTGTGGGTAGTTGCCTGTTGCATAGTTTCGAGAGGCATTCGGGGGAGGGGCCTGCATGAACTGTTGCTGGTAGGGCGGCTGAGAGGCGAAGGGGGAAGGCCGGAACGACTGACCGGACGTGTATTGCTGCTGGGGAGGTGGCGGAGGTGTCGCGGGGAGGGCTTGGTCGGCGTTGCTAGGCGGTGGCTGCTGCGGAGCAGGCTGACTTGAGTAGTACATACCGGACTGATAATTGACTGGATTGGAAGCAGCTGAAGTTCTGCCGTTGCCGCTCATGGCCCGGCGCGCCGAGGATGCGGGTAAACGCAACGAGGTTGTGCTCCATGGGATACAATGGGACGTCAAGACAGTCGTCCTTCCAGCAGCCGCAACCGAGGAAACACGGCACGCGCTCTTCACAGCTTGCATGGTTGGCTCAATGCGCCTTGGAACTGCGGTGGAAAAGGTTTGCAACAGAACAAAGATGCTCTTGTGCGTCTTTCTAGTTCCCCTCCTTCTGGTGACGCCCGGAGCGCTACTAGCGACGGCGAGGCGACAGAGATACGTTTAGTTCCGTTCAGGGAAAACACGTGGAGAAAGTGCAGCGAAAACGCTTCCAAGGCGCTTCCTGCTCTCTACTATGCGCACAGCTTTAGGTGTTGCCTTACAGAAGTTGTGATACGCACACGATGGCCCTCTGTATACCTTCGATAGCCGACAAGGTTAACATCATAACCAAAGAGCTAGGAAGCAGGTGACCCCGAAACCATGTCACGTACCTGCCACCTTGGCGGACCTGCCGTTTGCATCAATGACAATCCTGTAGGGCGGCTGATCTCTAGTATGTTATGGTAATCCTAGGCTTTGATGCTAATTACCTTTTTCTGTTGGCCGTCGCGCATAATTACGCAAAGATCCTGGCTCGAACGGCACAACTAGGAGATCAACTTGATGCCTTATAAGTGCACTCTTGTTCCTTGACTGAAGAAGGTGCCTGCTTTCTGATGGGCTATTAGTTCAGCAGAGGATTCGCGCCAACTTACCGTCATGATGCATCTGGATTTTGAGGCTCTGGAGGATACAGAGGATATTGGTTTCTACTTCAAATACCTTGGTGGTATTGCATTTACTGGTCATGACTCGTCGGTGGACGCCCCTGGGGCTACTGCTATGGTGGCGGCCAGCAGCAAGCACGGCCTCATCTTTTATAGTGATTTAGCAGGTATACTTCAGCCGTCTTAAGGGAGTCCACTATGGTTCCACTGTGTTCTGCGGGCTTTCCTTCTTCTGTTTCCCGCATGCGTCGTTTGCCGACATCGTCGGGGATTCCCAGCTGTCCTGGGAGGGCTGCGCGGGCTAACTATTACAGTTGGTGAACACATGGGCCTTCGGATGCAACTGTCACCCATGTGCGCTATCATTTGGCCCAAAACCCAACATGCCCCCCAGGTGTCTACGCCCTCCCCACGCGCGACCTCGCATCCAAGCTGCGCAAGGATGTTGCGGCCGAGGGCTACTCGCCGCCCCCGCCCGCCGCTGCCTGCGCCTGGCACCAGCCGCTGCCGGGCATCACGCAGCTCGCCCTGTCCGCCGACGAGGCGGTGCTGGCGGCGGTGGAGGGCGCGACGGGCCTCGTGCGCTTCTTCCCGCTCGCGCACATGTCCTCCGCGGGGCCCTCCCAGCCGCACTGGTCGCTGTCCCTGGGCCCGCTCAGGCAGTTCGTGTGGTGCAAGGCGGCGGGGCGCTCGGCGGGCGGGGCTGCGGGGCCGGAGTGCTTCCTGGCGGTCACGGCCGGGGGCGCGCTGCAGGTGGGGCGGTACGGCGACGCGGGCAGCCTGCAGCAGGTCGCCGCGTCCGGGGTTCATGCTGCGGACTGGTGCCCCGGGGAGGAGGGAGACGCTGCGGGCAGCCCCGCCCTGGCCTACAGCACGGGGCAGCAGCTGGTGCTGGCGGCGGTGGGGGCGGGCGGCGTGCGGCAGCTGGCGTCGCTTCCCCTGGAGCACCCTCGGGAGCCGGGTGTTGTGTTTGAGAGCGTGCGGTGGCTGGTGCCCGGGTGGCTGCTGCTGGGCGGCACCCCGCTGGAGGAGGACGGGGAGGGCACCGACGAGGTCAGCTGCCTGCTGGCGCTCAGCGGGTGGGCGCCGGGGGCAGCGGAGCCGCCGCAGGGCGCAGTGCTGTACACGGATGCGCCGGGGTTTGTGGAGGAGGAGTGCACTGCCCGCCTGTCCGGCCCCTACCTGCACGCCCTGGCCGTGCCGCAGTGGGGCGCGCTAGTGCGCTGCCACCGCAAGGCCGCGGACGACCACGTGCGCCTGCTGCGCCTGCCCACCGGGGACTTCGGCTCGGGAACCGGGCCGCAGGTGAGGGAGGAGGCTTGGGAGGGCTCCGGCTAGTGGATTGCCTTTCTCTCATGCATCCGCTGACGCCGCTTACCTCCCCCAATGCAGGCCGTTGCCATCACGGAGGACAAGCTGGGCATCCGGCTGCCCAACGGCCCCGACGAGGGCAGCAACTTCGTGCTGGGGCTGGGCTTGGACACGTCACTGCCGCTGGTGGGTCGGGCTGGGGTGTTGTGGGGCCGCTAACGTCGCTTGCATGCCTTCCGTTCCGTTCCTTACGTGCGCGTCCGTGCTCCCTGTGTGTCTGCAGGAGCCCCTTCCGCACCCCCTGAACCCCGAGCAGCCCCCGCTGACCCCGCCCCCGGTGGTGCTGGTGGTCACCTCGGACGGCGCGCTGCGGGTGTACGGCTTCGGCCACCTGGACCTGGCGGCGCAGCTGCGGCCCGGGGCGGATGCGGTGAGGCAGGCGGAGATGCCGGAGTGGGCAGCAGGGGCGGCGGGAGGCGGGGGTGGTGCCCTGCCCGCTGACAAGACCGAGATGGCGTCGAAGGCGGCGCTGCCGGATGACGATGTGAGTGCTCGTCGCCTGCAGTTGGGCGTTACGCTTGAGGCCTGTGTTGGCCAGCATGTCCACTTCCCCACGCGCGTAGTTATGCATGGCCCGTTGCATGCTGCGGTTGCTTACCCTTGCCAGCAGCCCATGTCTCCTGCTCCCTGCCGCCCGCCGCCCGCCCAGGATGACGATCTGGCGGAGGAGGATGACGCCGGGTCGCATGCCGGCGAGAGCTCCGCACCTGCCCCCGCATTCACCATGAGCGGACTGGGCTCCAGCTTGCCCCCGGTGAGCAGTGGAGAGGGGGGGCCAGTAGGCGGAGGAAGTGAGACGTTGGCTTGCCTACCTTCACGTGGCGCGCTGTCGTTCTGGTGTCACGCGGCGATTCGCTGCCCTCACGGTTCCCTACACACTGCTGCCGTGCTGCCGCTCTCAACACGACGCTACTGCCGCGCCTGCTTGCTGGTACCGCTTGCAGGTGTTTGGCAGCAGCTCAGCGGGGGGGCAGCCGGCGGCGGAGGTGCCCGCGGAGGACATGGCTGCGCGAGTGGCGCTGCCTGGGGCCGGGGAGAGCGACGATGATCTACAGGAGGACGAAGAGGAGAAGGGCGCGGGGCGGGGGCGGCCCGGGGCGGGGCAGCGGGGCCGGTCCCAGGCGGTCGTGAGTGACTCGGAGAGCGGCGAGGAGGTGACGTCGCCAGGTGGGGCCGTGAGGGCGGCGGGAGGAGGAGTGTCGAGTGGGAAGGGCGCTGGCGTTGTTAGGCTGCGGTGTAAGGGCGAGGTTCATATGCAGGGCAAAGTTCGTGGTGCTTACCATGGCAGCTCATGCGGTAAAGTGGAGTGACCAGTGAGGTGGTACAAAGGCCTGCCGCTACTGACACCCTTGCATGCGTTGCCGCAACCCCTGTTCCCCTGCCAGGTATTGTCGGCAAGCTCACCTCCCAGGCCGCCGCCCTCGCCGCTCCTGCGCCCGCGGCAGCAGCTCCCGCCGGGGGGCTGTTCGGCGGCTTCCCGGCTGCCGGGGGGCTCCTGGGCGGCGCAGCTCCCGCAGCGCCGTCCTCGGGCCCCGCATTCGGGGGCTTCGGCAGCTTTGGGCAGAGCTTCGGATCTGGTACGGCAGCGGCGACCAAGGCGGCGGGCCTGTCTGGGGCGCCCGCGCCGCCCGCCATTCCAGCCGGCGGCTTCAACTTTGGCATGAGCGCTGCGACACCGGCAGCGTCGACGTCAGCGCTGTTTGGCGCCTCCAGCACGCCCTCTGCAACTGCCTCCTCCGCTCCTGCCGCTTCGTTCCCCGGAGGCACTGCCGCTGCCTCGGGCGGGTCCGCAGCAAGCGCCTCCGCGCCCGCTGCCCCCAGCACCGGTGCCAGCAGCGGCGGCTTCGGCTTTGGGTTCGGTGTCGCCCCCGCGGCCCCAGCTGCCACCTCCAGCGCGCCTGCCGCCCCCGCGGGAGGGCTGTTCGCTACCGCCAGCACCGCCGCAGCGGGTGGGGGCGGGCTGTTCGGCAGCACCTCCGGCAGCAGCGGCAGCCTCTTCGGCGCTCCCGCCGCTGCACCCGCCATCATCCCCTTCGGAGCCAGCTCTCTGGGATCCACCGCGGGCACTGCCGCCCGCCCTGCGGTGCCACCTGCAGCTGCGCCCGCCCCCGGCGCCAGCACTGCCGGTGGGGGCGTTACGACCGCCGCCAGCGACACCACCCCCCGGCCGCCGCCTGCAGCAGCAGCTGCAGCAGCTGCAGCCGCCAAGCAGCTCCTGCCAGAGTGCGGCGAGCTGGAGCAGGCGGAGGACGTGGGGTTCTACTTCCGCTACCTGGGCGGCCTGGCGTTCCAGCGCCTCGAGGCGCCGCTGGAGGCCCCCGGCGCCACGGCGCTGGTGGCGGCGAGCAGCAAGTACGGTACCGTGTTCTTCAGCGACCTGGCAGGTGGGGGGGGCGCGGGAGTGTGCCGCATGGGGGGGCCGGGAGGGTAGGCATGTCTAGTAGTCGAGCCCACTGCGTCTGCTGTTGTGCGCATGCGGCCTTTCCTCGTCCCTCCGGGTTCCATGTGTGCTGTGCCGACCCGCCTCATGTTGCCGTTGTCAACAGGTGTCTACGCTCTCCCCACACGCGACCTGGCATCCAAGCTGCGCAAGGATGTTGCGGCCGAGGGCTACTCGCCGCCCCCGCCCGCCGCTGCCTGCGCCTGGCACCAGCCGCTGCCGGGCATCACGCAGCTCGCCCTGTCCGCCGACGAGGCGGTGCTGGCGGCGGTGGAGGGCGCGACGGGCCTCGTGCGCTTCTTCCCGCTCGCGCACATGTCCTCCGCGGGGCCCTCCCAGCCGCACTGGTCGCTGTCCCTGGGCCCGCTCAGGCAGTTCGTGTGGTGCAAGGCGGCGGGGCGCTCGGCGGGCGGGGCTGCGGGGCCGGAGTGCTTCCTGGCGGTCACGGCCGGGGGCGCGCTGCAGGTGGGGCGGTACGGCGACGCGGGCAGCCTGCAGCAGGTCGCCGCGTCCGGGGTTCATGCTGCGGACTGGTCCCCCGGGGAGGAGGGAGACGCTGCGGGCAGCCCCGCCCTGGCCTACAGCACGGGGCAGCAGCTGGTGCTGGCCGCGGTGGGGGCGGGCGGCGTGCGGCAGCTGGCGTCGCTTCCCCTGGAGCACCCTCGGGAGCCGGGTGTTGTGTTTGAGAGCGTGCGGTGGCTGGTGCCCGGGTGGCTGCTGCTGGGCGGCACCCCGCTGGAGGAGGACGGGGAGGGCACCGACGAGGTCAGCTGCCTGCTGGCGCTCAGCGGGTGGGCGCCGGGGGCAGCGGAGCCGCCGCAGGGCGCAGTGCTGTACACGGATGCGCCGGGGTTTGTGGAGGAGGAGTGCACTGCCCGCCTGTCCGGCCCCTACCTGCACGCCCTGGCCGTGCCGCAGTGGGGCGCGCTAGTGCGCTGCCACCGCAAGGCCGCGGACGACCACGTGCGCCTGCTGCGCCTGCCCACCGGGGACTTCGGCTCGGGAACCGGGCCGCAGGTGAGGGAGGAGGCTTGGGAGGGCTCCGGCTAGAGGATTGTCTTTCTCTCATGCATCCGCTCACGCCGTTTCCCTCCCTGCCTCCCTCCGTCCATGCAGGCCGTTGCCATCACGGAGGACAAGCTGGGCATCCGGCTGCCCAACGGCCCCGACGAGGGCAGCAACTTCGTGCTGGGGCTGGGCTTTGACACGTCACTGCCGCTGGTAGGTCGGGCTGGGGTGTTGTGGGGCCGCTAACGTCGCTTGCATGCCTTCCGTTCCGTTCCTTACGTGCGCGTCCGTGCCCCCTGTGTGTCCGCAGGAGCCCCTTCCGCATCCCCTGAACCCCGAGCAGCCCCCGCTGACCCCGCCCCCGGTGGTGCTGGTGGTCACCTCGGACGGCGCGCTGCGGGTGTACGGCTTCGGCCACCTGGACCTGGCGGCGCAGCTGCGGCCCGGGGCGGACGCGGTGAGGCAGGCGGAGCTGCCGGAGTGGGCAGCAGCGGCGGCGGGAGGCGGGGGTGACGGCAAGCCCTTGGTTGACGAGACGGACAAGGCGGCGAAGGCAGCGCTGCCGGATGACGAGGACATCGAGGACAGTGCCGAGTCGGAGATGCGGCGGGCGGCTGCGGCGGCGGGTGTTGCGAGCGATTCGGAGAGCGGCGAGGAGGTGACGTCGCCAGGTGGGTTGGTGTGCAGGACCGGGAGGAAGGTTGGGAGGTCTGCGACATCTGGCAGCTGCAGTGCTGCATAAGGCCTCATGACAGCTTGGGTGTATGCTGTCTATTGTTGTTGTCCGATTGCCATAGCTATGCTGCAGTGATGTACTTCCTATCTAGCATTGCAGCAGAAGCCGCCCTTAACCTCACTCCTTGCAATCGGCTGTCCAGGCATCACCTTCGGGGCCCAGTCCCTGGGCGCTGCTGCCGCCACTCAGTCGGCTGCCGGCCCCTCCGGCCCCACCTTCCCCGGCACCGGAGGCATGTTCGGGAGCTCGGGAGCGGCCTTCAAGCCAGCCTCAGCGGCTCCAGCTTTCGGCGCCGCACCGCCCGCGACTAGCGCTGCCTCCGCTCCCTTCGGCCTCAGCGGCCCCGCGCCCGCTGCCCCCAGCACCAGTGCCAGTAGCAGCGGCTTCGGCTTTGGGTTCGGTGTCGCCCCAGCGGCCCCAGCTGCCACCTCCAGCGCTCCTGCTGCTCCCGCGGGAGGGCTGTTCGCTGCCGCCAGCACCGCCGCAGCGGGTGGGGGCGGGCTGTTCGGCAGCACCTCCGGCAGCAGTGGCAGCCTCTTCGCCGCTCCCGCCTCTGCACCCGCCATCATCCCCTTCGGAGCCAGCTCTCTTGGGTCGTCTGCAGCCTCGGCGGCCCCAGCCACAGCCCCGGCGACAAGTCCTGCTTTCGGCTTCGGAGCTCTTGGTCTTGGTGCCCAGGCGCCTTCGCAGCCGGCGGCAGGGGGCGGCCTGCTCGGCAGCGGGCCCACCTCGCTGTTCGGCGCCGCGCCTGCCGGGGCGGCTAGTGGCGCGGGAGGAGGACTGTTCGCGCCGCCGCCGCAAGCTCTGAAGCCGCCTGTCGCCACGGGTAGGTTATCAGGGCCGCGGGAAAGTTTCGGGAGGCGAGTGTGCTGTAGCTCGGCGTAAGCACCCGCATGCGTGTGGGTCGGTCCCTCATTCCGTGTACTAACCCTCCCTTTTCTTGCAGCGCCTGCAGCGCCTGTCCCTCCGGGTCCTGCAGCCAAGCCCGCTGCCGCAGCCCCCAAGAAGGAGCCCGCTCCCGCGCCGCCGGTAAAGGTCGCCCCTGCCGCGAAGGCCCCCGCGCCGCCACCCAGGCCAGCAAGCCCCGACGTGCCGGCGCCGCAGCCGCAACTGGCTGGGGAGTCACAGGAGGTGAGTCTCGCAACGGCAGGCAATGGCGCATCAGGAGCTGCATGAGCCCTCGTGCGCTGCTTGTGTCTGAACGCCTTGCCGAGCCGGGCGGTCTCCCAACGGGTCCTCCCCGCCCGTGCGCCCCCCCTCCCTCCCCAACCGACAGGGCGCCGCAGCCGAGGCCAGCTTCCTCCGCGAGCTGCACGAGGTGCGCCGCATGGCGGCCCGCCTGGCTGCCACCATGCGGGACGTGGCGGCGGGCTGCCCGGACGTGTGCAACGCGGTGGCGGAGGGCGGCGGAGGTGGAGGTGGAGGCTACAAGGCGGTGGCGGCGAGTGTGGCGGCGCTGGCCCGCCGCGCGGCTGCACTGCGGGCGCAGTACGAGCGCACCAACAAGGTAGGTCCTGCAGAGGGGGGACGCGGGGCGGGAAACGTTGCATTGCGGCTTTCTGACATTACGTCACGTACGGAAGTCTCCTTGCTTTTGATACCCCCTTACGCATACGTGACTGGCACTGAAGTCCAGCGCCTCTGCCTCCTCTCTTCTTCCTCCTCCCGCCCCCCAGCGTGTGGCCCACCTGGTGGACGGGCTGGGGTCGCTGGAGGGGCGGTTGGACGCGCTGCAGCTGTTCTCGGGGGGCCGGGGCGGAGGGGGTCCCGCGGCGCTGGCGGCCCTGGAGGCGAGTCTGCCGCTGGAGCCGGCGCTGGAGGGGCTCAGGAGGGACGCGGTGACGAGGCTGGAGGTGAGGCGGGGGGCGGGGCGGGGCGGGTGTTAGGAGGGCGCAGGGCGCAGCAGGGGGCGCGTCAGTTCTGGTGAGCGTGTGTACGGTCGTTCTAGAAGCTGCGCGGAGTCGCCTGCATGCCTCATCACATACCCGCTACCCCTCGGTTGATGTCGCAGGCGCTGGGTCGGTGCCTGGAGGAGGTGGAGGAGGTGATGGAGTCGTGGGAGGAGCCCGCAGGTGGGGTCTGCTGGGGGGCGGGAAGGGCTGCATTCGACTTGGCCTCTCGTGTTCATCACCCTGCGGTCGCAAGTAGCAGCCACCCACATGCGACTGTGACGTCCCTCTGTTCCGTTTCCGAGCCAGTTGTTCCCGCCAAACCTGCCGTACTGCCCTCCTCGCAGGCGGCAGCCAGGCCGCCTCCTGCCGCCTGTCCACCAACGTCCTGTACAACACGCTGGCGTCTTCGGGTGAGCCGCTTTGGGGGGATGTAGGGAGCAAGGTGTGGCGGTCGAACCTAGCGCACGTGCGCGGTGGATGGAACCGTCTGGAACGTACCGGTGATCCCTCTCCCCCTCCCCCCCCCCTCCTCCTCCCCGCCCCCTCCCCGCCCCCGGCCCCAGGATCCGCACTGGCGTCCGCCGCGACTCGCATTCTCGTGCTGGCTGCTCGGCTGGAGGAGGCGGGCGTCTGCCCGCTGGGGCTGCTCAAGGTGCGCGGGCTGCGCGGGCCCTTCTAATTCTACTGCACTGCATTGCACTGTACTGCACTGTACTGCACCGGTGCTTCGCGGCTGCTAGAAGTGCTCCCGGTTCCTATCTGCCTCCGGCCCCACCCCCGTGTGCGATAGCTAACTGAGGGAGTCGCCGTCTTCCGCTTCAATGCCTCAGGACCCGAACGGACCCCTCGCGGCACTTGGGGCCTGGTGCCGCGACGGGGGGGCGCCCCCAGCGAAGGAGCCCCTGGGTCTACCCGCACCTGCGGGGGCTAACGGCATGTCTCCCTCGGCAGGGGCTGTCACTCCCGCCGGCAAGGCTGCCGGCAGCAGGTGAGGCGGGGAGCGGCGCAGCGGGGTTGGGGTACCTTAGATGTGGCATTGCGGAGGTCACAGGTTACATAGACGTACCACTGCTCAGTCTCCTTCCTCTTCCTTCTCCCCCTCCTCTCTCGGCCGCAGCTCCACTCCCGAGCTGCAGTGGCACACCCCCGTGTCCGCTGGTGGCCGCCGCTCGCCGCTGCTGTCTGCGGGGGCCACCCCTCCCAGCCCGCAGCAGCCCGCCTCGCCGCTGTCGCCGCAGCTGGCCGCTGTGGACTCGGTGCTGCCGCGGCTGCAGGTAGGGTGCCTGGTCGCGTGGGGGTGAGTCGGCAACGTTGCTGTGCTGTCCCCTTGGCCTGCTGTGTCTCGCACGTCATGTTCTGTTGCAGGCATCGCTCACGCATGTGCCCTTCCCTTCACAGGCGCTAGCTCGTTTGGGCAGCAAGGTGCGGGTCACCAGCGCGGTGCGGCCGCCCGCTGCCCCTGAGGCCCCCGGCTCCGCGTTGTTGCAGCTGATGGCGGCTGCGGAGGCGGCGCGCGGGGCACTCGCCGATGTACCAGAGCCGTCCTCCCCGCCGCGTGCGCAGGTTAAGCCGATGCAGCTTATCAGGTTAGTCTTTGGTCGAGGAGCACAGCAGCTTGATGTGATTTTACCGACTGCCAATCAGTTGTTGTCGGCTGCCATCATTGCTAAAGTCGTTGCGGTCTGCCAACCTGTTCCTGCCTCAACAGTGCGGCGCCGCCTGAAGCTGCTCCAAGGCCTGCTGCGGCGCCCCAACCGGCGGCCTTCAACTTCGGGACTCTGGGGAGCGCCGTGGCGGGTCAAGCGCCGCCCACACCCTCCCTTGCGGCGCGGCCGGCCCCTGCAGCCGCTGCAGCCGCTGGCCCCGGCCCAAGCAAGGCTGTGGCCGCAGGGGCTCCTGCTGCTGCTGCTGCACCCGCGGCGGCTGCCAAGCCCAAGGCTGCGCAGCCGCCCATACCCAGCATGTCCCAGGTGCGTGGCGCTTGACTCGCAGGCATAGAGCATACTCGGAGAGAAGAGGTCTTGTGGGCATGCGAAGGAAACGCTGGGAGCTGTACGACACCCTAGAGCGCCAAGTCGAATATCGATCTAGACACCTGCGACACTGTTCGCTTGCTGCCTGTCTCGTTGCCTTCCTTACCACGTGTCCCTTTCCCAATGCCCCTGGTTGTAGCTGCAAGCTGCCAGTAAGCTCCAGCAGCAGCAGGCTTCCAAGGCTGCTGCCGCTCCCGCTCCTGGAAAGCGGACCTCAGATTCCGCCTCAACACCGGCACCACCGGCACCCAAGACGTCCGGAGGCGGCAGCGGCCAGCCCCCCGTGCCTTCCATGGCGCTGTTCGCGCAGGCCGCCCAGATGCACCAGAAGGTGGCGGCGCAGCAGGTGAGCGGCTTGCTGGGAGCACACTGCTGCGTGACTGCATTCACGTGTGGGCTTACTTTGTAACCCTGGAACACAACTGAACAACGTGCATCGGATGACATGCGTCAATTGATGATGAACTGTTTTGGCAACATATCCCGAGCATTTCCCTTTCACCACGTCCTCTGCAGGGAGTTCCTGCCGCAAGGCCCACTGACTCCGGGTCGAGTGCTGGCAGCACGGCCACCAGCAAGCCCCAGCCGCCCAGCAAGCCGCAAGCCGCCGCCCAGCCCCCTGTTCCCTCGCTCGAGTCCATGCGTGCAGCTGCCGCCGCACAGGCTCGCCTGCAGCAACAGCAAAAGGAACAGGCAGGAGCCGCAGCCCCTGCTGCCACAGCAGCGCTAGAAGTGAAGAGTGGCGCCGCGCCCGCTGCACCTGCAGGAGGGTTTGGGTTCGGCTTTGGCGTTGCAGCACCGACATCAACGACTGCAGTGGCATCAGCGCCGGCATCCCTGTTCGGTTCGGCGCCGGCCACAACCTCAACCGGGCTGTTTGGTGCTGCCTCCGGGTCGTCAACGGCTGCAGCCACCCCTGCTGCATCCTCCAGTTCGCCTGCTGCGTCGACGTTTGGGTTCGGCGCACTCAGCTTTGGTGCCGCAGCCCCGGCCAGTGCAAGCTCATCTGCTGCTGTCGCTGCTGATAGCAGCGGTGCTACCAGTGGCAGCCTGTTCGGCGGTTCAACAACAACAGCGTTTGGGGCTTCCACGGGTGGAGGGCTGTTCGGGTCTGCGACAGCCGGGCTGTTTGGAAGCACCCCGGCGTCCGCGGCGGCCACTGCGCCCTCGTCCACTGCAGGGGCTCAGGCAACCAGTGCAGCGGCCCCTGCCGTTACTGGCTTTGGTGCTCCCGCAACCGCTGCTAGTGCGGCTGCTCCAGGTGTGTGTTTGTGTGACATTTTGATGGGGGGGTGGTGCCATTGCCATGTGCATACATGACGCTTGCTTGCTTGGCGACTGATGTCCTACTGCGCTACACCCATGATAGTTGCGCTTATGCTTCGCTTCGGCATGCACGCAGGAAGTGCCGGTCTTGCGGGTACAACGGGGCTGTTTGGAGGGCTGGGCTTTGGAGCAGCGGGCGGCGCGGCTGCCTCCAGCAGCAGTGGTGAGCCAGTAAACCAGTTTCCTGTTGTTTTGTGCTCTTGTGCCTACCTGTTTCCTACAATCATCCATGTGCATCCATGTGATGTGTGTCTTTACGTTCTTGCCGTCACCATGTCCCCAGGTGGACCGGTCGCTGGCGGTGGTGCTGCGGGGTCCACACCTGCCGCAGGTGCATCCTCGCCGTTTGGTTCCTTTGCAACGGGTGCAGCCTCCAGTGCCGCTGCGTCTGGGGTTTCAGGCTTGGGTGCCTTCAGCTCTCAGCCTGCAGCCCCTGCAGTGTCGGCCCTTGGTACCAGCAGCCAGTCGTCCGCGGCCGGAACCCAGCCAGCAGCCTTCGGTAGCTTTGGTGCTGCTGCCGCCCCCGCGGGAAGCACTGCTGCAGGGCCGTTTGGTGGCGGCGGAAGCGGGCCCTTCGGTACGTCGGGTGGAATACAGTCAAAGGCAGCCATGCCTTCTGTGAGTGCTGGAGTGTTCTCTAGCTTCGGTCAGGCGCCCGCTTTTGGTAGCCCAGCTGCTCCTGCGCAGCCGGCATTTGGGGCGCCTTCCGCCCTGGGTGGCGGTGCAGCAGCCGGCTTCGGAAGCCCTGCGGGAGCACCAACTGCGCCCAGCGGTGCCTTTGGGAGCACGAGCTTTGGCGCCCCTGCCGCCTTCGGATCGCCTGCGCCTGTCGCACCTGCAGCTGCTGTGACACCGTTTGTAGGTGGCTTTGGCCAGAGCAGCCCTCTTGGTAAGAGTTCTTGGGGACTGTCGACGAATCCTTGCTTCCTGACATTAGATGTGACCAGTTCTCTTGTCCCAAGTGCTACTCTGTCCTCCAGTTGGGTTATATATGCTGGAGCCTTTTTGCCTCGAGTATCCATCCTATCAACATAGTGGCACTTGCAAATGTTTACATGCATGACCTGTTTCAGTCCCAATACAAGGTACCTCCCCTATGCTGGTACAGGTGCCACTGGACAAAACGCCTTTTCCGGGTTTGCACAGCAAGCTGCCGGAGGAGCAGGTGGCGGAGCAGGGTTCGGTGCATTCTCCAGTTCAGGGCCCACGCCACCAGCAGCAGGAGGCGGGTTCGCAGCCTTTGCTAGCCAGGGTGGTGGGTTTGGCGGGTTTGGCTCTGCACCTGCCCAACAGCCACAAGGCGCGTTTGGGGCGACTGGAGGCGGAGGGTTTAGTGCGTTTGGGAGCTCAGGCGCTTCCCCAGGAGGTGGCGCTGCTTCTGACCTCTGGAAACCCCGCAAGTAATGCGGTCTATACATGTCTGTTTTTGCAATAGGGAGAGAGGTTAAGATGATGGGCACGCAGGGAGACCCGCAGGGCTAGTCCCAATGCATTGGCTTCACCAGTCCTTCGTGTAACCACACGGAGGAGTAAGAAGGTGTTTGTGAGAGTCCCGCTTGTAAGTATCAAGGTTACCAGTGTCAACCAGTTGTATTCCTCTGGGGCAGATCATGCTGACCACCGCACGAAGACCCATCCAACATACCCAATACTTTTGCACCTCCTCATCTAGCTCGCCAGGAGCTTTACCCAACTTGAAGTTTGCACAGTGGGATCCATTTAGGTTGATAAGATCCATGCACACAATATTGGAGAGGCTTGCCAAGCCACACGTCCATGTTGGTGTGGCTTGCCACTGACCGAGCAACTAACCAGTATGCGTGTCATCATCGATGCTGCATGAGGGGAGCAGCACCTTCGTACCTGTCTCCGGTACCCATGCCCAACCACAGTAATGTAGCTGAGACCCACCACAAGCATGTCAGCAGCAGGCTACCCTGCTCCCCTGGGCGAACTGGGTCGATCAGAAGCTTGGGTGGCGGACACTAACTGCATGCTGCACGGTGCTATGAAGGCGGGGTGTGGGGGATGCAAGGGTGATGCTCAGCGCTGGTGGAGCTCGCAAGGAGCTGCAGCAGTTGGGTGTGCTATGGTAGATAGGGGCTCTAATCCAGGCAGCTGGGTTAGGTGCTTAGGTCTGGAGGGATGCTTCTGTCTTCACAGTGATGTGGCCAGGGCCATCGGCCTGCAATGCAGCCACAGTGCAGGACGGGCCCACGAACTAACATGTAGGTTGGCACCATGGCAATCAAGCTAGTGTGGCCGCGGCTACAACCATCCTCAGTGCACCAGGTCCAGGACAGAGGCACACGTGTTGGTCCCAGGCATCACTGCCATGAGACCACCATGCATGCCACTCTGAAAGCTGTGACATCAGCAGCAATGCAATGCCACCACACGGGCATGTGGGTCACAGCTGAGGTAGGTGCATGTATCACCGCATGTGGCTACATCAGCAGCCCAGACAGGAGGCCAAGCCCCCTGGCAGCTCCTGCACCGCAACTCCCTCGCCAATTAACAATTAATGGAACACGACGAGCTTTACAAAAGCTGAGCTGCAGCCCAGCACCTGCCTATCTATGGCAATGAAGTGCAGGGGCAGCTAGTACGCTACGGTGGGATCAATGGTGGCACTGCCTCCCACCACCTTAGCCGCTGACGCCTCCGCTTTGAGCTGCATCGGCCTGACTTCTGCCAGTGCTTGCCCCGACCTGAGTTACCATCTGCATGATTGCCCTGGGTGCCTTTGTGCGATTTCACTTAAAGAATGTGTGTTCGCTTGCCCCATCGGGGCCTAGCAGCTAGGAGGTTCGTAATATTGAAAAGAAGCGCTTAATGTTTGGGGACATACAGTTTACGAGGGTCAGTAAATGTTCTTCTGATTAGATTAATCGACACTTGAGCGTCGGTCGCGATGTGCAGTTGGTCGCGGTCCCTGTGGGCCTCGAGTGCCGTGCGAATGGCCGCTAGCTCGGCTCGCTGGATTGTGTTTATCACACTTTGGCAATGTAGTAAAGTTCCTTTCGGATCATAGACTGACGCTCCTGTCCGTACGACTGGGGTTCCGTCGGTTAGCTCGCGGTTAAATCGGCTCCCATTAGTGAACATGACTATGTAAACCTTTGTAGGATTGCGGCTGGGAACTGGGCATTTAGTGTATCCAACCCATCCATGCTTACTGATAGAGTGGAGCGCGTTCGGGGAGGCGGGCTACCATGAAATGCGCGCTTCATCATAATTACATGCTGGCTATAAAGGCGCATATGGTTAGTTTGGCCGCCAGCTGGGACATCCTTGATGAGCGCAATGGCGACATGGCTGCCAACGAGGCGTACTCTCGGAGGCGCGCCCAGACCTCTCGCTTCGTTAGGTTGATATTCTGTTCGTTTGCCTTAATCAGCGCATCGAGCCACTCTGCGCAGCGCCTGGGCGTGAAGTTGCCTGGGTCCTGGCAGCGCTCCCTGGCCCCTCCGTAGCAACACCTGGGACGACTGCAAGTCGTTAGGGGTGGAGGCTGGAGAGTATTCGCGTGTACGCTCCGGAGTGCTGGTAGGGTAAAGCCAGGAGTTGAGGTGTGGGGCAGGAGGGGAGTCGGGGTCATGGCTGGTGCCTGGTTTCTGCCCCCTCAGCAGTGCTAGCCACCGCACATGTGGCGGCACGCAGAGCAGAGACCGATTTTCGGGCGGGCTGGGCGTTTAAAGCACTTCAAAGGGGTGGGAGTAGGATCCCGTGTTGAATCCAAACAGCTGGTACTCTTTGGTGTCACTGAAGTAGAGAGATTGTACCTCACTGCATGTGAGTGGGGTGGCAAAGCACTCTGAAGGCTTCCTTGCTGGGGGTAGCAGCACGTTGCAGAGAGCCTGCATCAGTTCCCCGCGGGGTCCCCAGACGCCGCGGTTGCGGCTGGTGTTTCTTGCTGTCCTGCTTCCGCCACTCCTGTCACCTCTTGCCACCATGCATCTTCCTTCATCACCACGTACTTCAGCCACTTGCTTATCTTGCACAGTTGCTTATCTTGCACAGTCGCTTATCCTTTTCCTCCTGCCTTTGCTGCCTCAACCTCCCACATATCCCGTGCACGAAGGCCATCAGGAACCTCATGGGACGCTAGGGGCAACGGAGCTTGGCTGCCACCTCTCTGAAGGTAAGCAGTGCTGTACAACAGCCCCCGCTCGCTTTCATACACCCCACCATTGCTTGATTGAATGCATGGTGTCCTTCTGCCTCCTTGCCAGCGGCACCCCCCGCCCAGAACTGTATGACAGTCAGTCCCTCCTGCTGCTTCCCGTACTCCCTAGCCCTTCCCCCTGCTGTGTTGCTGCAACCGTATATGGCAGCACAAACCTGCATGGAAGACATTGCTTTACATGCATGCATGATTGCAGCCCAATGGACCCCACTGCACCACACTCCCTGCGGTCAGGCCGCTTTATGGGGCCGCTTTATGGAGGTTCGATTCCTCCAAGGAGTTATGCACGTGTGCCGTCCATGTCTAAAGCATTCTTCCCCACACCACCACCCCTCCCTTATCCCTCCATGCTTGCCACAGCCCTACGGACAGTATGATGGGAGCCACATGACTGTATGCAGCCGCTGGCACAGTGGCAGGGAACTAATGAGTGTGATCACGGGTTTGATGCAGGTTGCACAATGCCATGGGAAGGGGCGAACAGCTGGTGCTGGCCAAAGGGACTGGAAGCACATTCGGAAAACGTTTCAGCCTAAGAGGTAAGGACTCGCTGATTGGAGCTACTGTGCTAGGGGGGCCAAGGTGCTCGGGGTGCTCATAAGGAGGCCTCCTTAGGGAAGGGGGCAAAAGGTGCTGGCCTGTTGCCCGGCGCCAGCAAGCTGGGGGGCAGGCAACCGGGTCACTGTTTCCTCCTGCAAAGCTTTGCCAAAGCATGGCCGGGCTTCAGCAATGTCCATGTACATGGCTATGGTTAAGTTGCGTGCTATGCATACTGCCATGTGCGCGCTGTCCACATGTGTCGTGCCTAGGCCTGCTGCCTCGCTTGTAAACTAGCTAGCATGCTACTGACCTGTACATATTATGCGGTTGAGCAACCCTGTGTAGGCCTCCTGCGGCCTTTGTGGCATGAGCCCGTTCAACAGCCTGGTGGGAGAGCTCTGGGGGAATTAGGTACACTGAGCCGTGGCTGTTGCGACCGGGGTTGTTGGGCAGGTTTCCTGGTCGTCCTGGCTGGGGTGGGCCCCTGCTGGTGGTTGTGACCCATTTAGTTTAGGTAGCTGCATTAACTGGTGATGAGGCCCATGGGGCTTGGAGTTGGGACTACCATTGCCTAATCGGCAGCCTTCCCTGCTTTGCCAGGGCTGCAGCACCTGCTGCTGAATCTCTTTTGCCATGCCACCACCATGTGCAAGAAGAGCAGCAGCAGGTGGGAGGAGCCACATCAACAGCTGGAGGGCTGTCAGCTTGTGACCTTTTCGTGTACCACAGAAGCAGCATGTGGCAGGCAGGCACAGCTGTGTGCAACCCCTCTTGGATACTTTGCCTGGTGTTGTATCATGTGAGGGCGGCACAGTGTGCCATTAGCTTTGGCTGGGGGTCCCTGCCATTGCTGATGCATCCCTTCAACTGCACCTACTGCTGTGACAGCAATTTGGGCCCCAGGAACTGCAGGATGGACAGCAG